CAGCTAGCCACCTCCAGAGGATCCGACTTCCCAGGGTGCACCACATGCTCTGATAACACATATTTAGGCTTTTAATGCCCTCCAAAAAAGGCCTGTGTTCAGTGGGGGTATTTTAAGCTGTACTGCGTATTAGCTAATTAGGGTGTGTGGGCTCTTTGTAAGGATGTTTGGCATGCTGCGGGTGCTTCAAATGAAAGAGAATAGTGCTCAATTGCTTAAATAACCTTTTTGTCCTGATTTCTCTCTCTCTACAAGTTCACATCAATGTCACATAGTTGTACTAGAGTAGAAGTTGGTCAAACTTTGTTTGTCCAGTCAAGATAAGTGGTCAAGGATTACATTTTACATACATCATATTGGACTAATTCTGTGAATGGAAAAGATTGATTTGCATTAGATGTGTAACTCTATTATGACCACACCCCAGGCCCATCCAGTGTGCTTTTAAGTCAGTAGTAATAAGCCAGGACAGTCAACCATAAGACAGGAACACTTGTGACCAATTAGTGCACGGAGCAGAGGAGGGAATGGTCAACATCCCAGCGGGCCGCTCCTAAACAGACAGGCTGTCATCAAGACGAGGCGCTGAGATGCTCAATGAATTCTCACATGTCCGCTGCCCGTCTGTAGTCCGACCCCACCACTCACACACTAACAACATCTCTCAGCTCCAGTAAAGCTGAGAGGTAGTCCCAACACAGCTTCCTAACATCCCAACACAACGGGAGCAGAGGATCCATTGCACTAGATCCCCCCCAACAAGCTGCTCAATTGTCCAAAAGGGCATGGCAGGGTTTCCCCCTCCCTCTCTTCTGTGTATATGTTTGGTTGTATGTGTGTGAGTTCAGGAGGGGTAGCTTAGAGCTCAGTCCTTGCTGACCATATGTCCGCACTGCAGGGAGTTGGGGGGGCTACAATCTGCCAAGGATTTAGGAATGCCAATCATTTGTAAATAGGCCCGTGTTCCCTGGTCGAAGGGTTAAGTGTAGCTTCTCTCCTGGGATGGTCCCAGTGGGGCGTCTGTATGCGAGCCTAATGTCCAACTCCAGCCAAAGTTCTCATGAGACTAACACCTCCTTCTTTTTTTGTCCTCACCCCCTTATCTCCCTCCCCACCTCTAACTGCCAGGGCTTGAAGAAAGTTTGAGGAGCTCTCTAGCTGACTCCAGTCCGTCTGTGGCCCTGGTTCCAGTCCTGGACTTGCCTGACTCCGAGATCGTCCACCTGTCCTGCTGGCTCAGTTTATAGTCAACAGCCAGACTCCAGTCATCCACAGCACTGGAATCCAATGGGGCTTTTCTGGCGAAGCAACTATCAAAGCCCAACAACTCATGACTTACAACAGGACATTGTGAATGTGACAAATAAAAACAGCGTAACTGCTTATTGATGTTGACTGAATTGTAAACTTTTGTCCGCCTCCAAGTGGTTTTGAAGATGTGCAGTTTTGAGGATGTGCTATTTGACTTCATATCGCAGAAGTTAGGCCAATAATCCCTATGTCCTCGACTGGAGTTGTTTACTGCAGCAGCTGTTATTCTTCCTTCGAGAAGAGTCTTATAGAACTTCTATAAGCTAAAGCTGCATACCAGAAGGCTGGAGACCACGGACTACAAAAGGAGACACCAGCAGTGTCTCATTCCACGAGGCGATAAACTGTATCCCCTGATATCCCACTGTTTCTGGTGGAATTTCTCTCACCGCGTTAGCTAACACCCCTCATAAAGGCCTAGCGCCACCGCTGACACCATCTGTTCAGTTGTAAACCTATAGATTTACTGTGTGACTGCTTTGTGGATGATGTGACTGTTTCTCTCTCTCATGCTCCATGGGATTCAAGGTGTGTTATTATTGTGTAATGGGCAATCAGTGGCAAGCACCTGAAAAGATTAAGCCTCTTTATGTGTTTTATTGATTCTAAGGCAAGCTGGTTAATAGGAGAGGGACCCTGCAACACACAGCTGCAGGCCAGGTGTGTGTTCTGTGTTGTGTGTATGTGCTCGGGCCCGAAAATGGACATTGTGCCGATGTGGGAAGAAAACAACGCCATTAACCATTGCTCCTGGAACAATGCTTTTCTCAAAGATCATGAACTGTATTGATGATCTCAGTTGGAATGCATCTTCACTCCAGCTATTCTCTTTATCGCATTTGTGATGGCGGCAGAGTGGAGTGGGCTATTGATCTTCACCAACCGAATGTTGTTTTGATTGTTGTTATCAAAATATTTATAATAGAGGCAACCAATAGAGCCTGAAGATTTTATTGAGGGTTGAAAAACACAAACAAGCAATTATTTATGAGAGCGAGCAATCCAATGCCCCATAAATATACAGTGTGTGTTAATGTTCACCTGTTTGCTTTTAAAGGCCCCACCAGGGGGAGATTTAGAATTGTTGATTGATGTAGCTGTCAAATAAGCACGAAGATATAGATATTTTGAAATAAAGTACTTGTATTTTGTACTTGTACACCTCAGTTAACTTAACACCAATACATGTTACATACTTGATTATATTTCAGTGTTTCCAATAAATAAAACTGATTATAATTCCAACAGATTAAGCAATGAAACAAATAGCTGAAGAAGATATTGCTCTAAAAATGTTTTCTTTGTACATATTCTTGGTTCCTTACATTTCTTTGTGTGTGACAGTCTGAACGTCAAGCAGGTTATTGCCAAACAATTGTGTGCTGCGCTAACATGCATATTCACCAGACATGATACATTATGGTTTACAGAGAGGATTAGAAATACGTTTTGTTGTCGAAATTCAGAAATGAGTAATAAAGAAACAACCTACGCCAGCCCATGTACATTTCATTTATTTTAAGTTGGCAGTAGATTCAACATTTTAAATAAAAAGCCACATTTGCAAGACATTTCTGTATTCAGTCTTGATTGCCCATGCTTCTTTCTTTAGTGTAACAATGGCTAAATGACAAGGACTGTATGTGTCACAATACACAAACATACAAAACCCATTTAAAAACACACAGAGGAGATTTGCCACTGTAATTCAGTGCACAACAACCACTTGTCGATCACACTGTAAACACTACATTGTGTCTTTCAGCAGACATGTTTTCATACAGACACAGGCAAAGCCACGACTATATCATCACATTATAATCATGGCCACTGTGATGGCCTATGGCAGACACATTTATTTGTGTCTCCACCACTGTGTTTCCACATGAAATGAATAAAGACAGGGTGACATTTAGTTTTCTCATGTGTTTTGTCAAATGTACATTTTCTACTTAGCTGACCTGCAATCGCTCTGCAAACAAACTGGCTGTTGTGGCTAACATTGTCCTTTGTGCACAGTGTACCAGCCTCAGGCTCTTGTCATTGTGGCCTTGCACATGGACTTTAACTGTGTGTTTCTTCCTCCAGGCTAACCAGGCTGATGTGTGTGACTCTCTCTCTCCCCATAGCAGTGGGCTTCGGTAGGGGAGCCCAGCTCAGGAGCCGCCTCACAGCATGACTCTTCCTGACATTGGGTTCTGTTTGCCTCAGTGGCCGTGGTTTTGTTTGTTTGTATATTTGATTCCTTTTTGTTTCATAATGCATTGTTTTCCTCCCCTGACAGATTGTAAAAGCATGTCTTCATGGTCACAGCACTGACTAAATGAAACTTGTTCTTTCTGCTGAACTGGCAAGCCATCACATGCTATTGAGTGGTGTCTGCTGCCCTCTTGTGGTCCACATAAAAAAAATGCAATTTAAAATAAAGCCATATATTTTACAAGCATTCAGCGCCTATAATAAATTAGTGATATACTTGGTTGAGTGCTCAATATTCTGTGTGAATACTTTAGATATTGAATATTTTTTCTAAACATTTTTTTTATATTAACAGTGTTGCTATTTCAAATTAATGGACATTGCACTTTTATATTTTGTATTTCTGATGATCAAACAATTCTCTTTTATTTCTACGTTACAGTAACTTGTCTTTAATTTCTAGATTGTTTAGTAAAGACCAAAAGATGATTTTAGATTTTGATATGCACACTTTCAAAAACGCTCTTGAATGACAAGTTATAAAAAACGGTAGGCTACTGATTCATTTTTGACTAATTTTTCTTTTACTCAACAACAAAATGTGAGCAAACACCAATCGGAAAACCATGGAAACAGAATGTAACAGGACTTAAAAAGGGGTTGGGTATCCGTCTGGTTCTTGCTAGACTAAACTATTTTCCAAGACTAAATAATGGACAAACTCAGAGTCGTTTATCCATTAAATGTGGGACTGGTTGAGTGATAAATCTTCACAGTTTAAGCAGGTTTGTGATTATTTTAACTTAACCCAGTTTATTGATAGTCCCACTAGAATAAATCCTGCCAAACCCAATAACGATACCCTTATAGATGTCATTCTAACAATTACAAAAAAACAAACATTATTAACAGGTTACTGACAATAATGATCAGGCTAAAGTTTATATTATCCATTTTACTCAGAACTTTGCAATTTGCCTTATAAATAAATATAAGGCAAATTATTAAAAAATATATTTATAAATAATGTGGTCCACAATCACAACATGACAGCTGAAACAGTATGCGGGCAATGCTCATAATGTAGAAGTGTGATGTCAGACGGTGTTTGGTGTAACATTTGTGGCATAAGCTTCACAGTCAACACACTGACTCACTCATTTATGATTAATTCATTAATAATACAATGTTGCTGTGCAGTGATTTTTTTGTATACAATTGTGTGTATTATGTTCACGATTAACATTATGGTGTTATTAGACAATTATGAAGACAAAAATAAAACAATTAATGCATTTCATTAATATTTCAGACATCCAATATTATTTTGCTTTTTTCCTAACTTTTTTAATGTATTTTTATAATTTTGAGAGTCTTAATATATGTTTTGTATATTACATCAAAACGCAGGTAAATTAGGGATAAGGTTTAGTTGTCTTTGGAAAATGTAAAAAAACATGTATTCGTGCGTAGTAGGAACCGAGGTCTTGCTTCTGTATCCGGGGGACGGTTTTACGAACGTACCCATTCAGGAAGTCAATCGCAAACAGCGCGTTTTGATTGTGTACATGCGCAACTAACCATCCAACGGCAGTAACACTCATGCTGGAATAAACATAAAGGTTTGAGAGCTTTATCTATAATTCGTATATATCGGGTACGCCCCGGTACTTTTCAGCAAAGCCATTATTAAGAAAAAGTCTTAGTTATTATCTTACTGCGACTCATTAGCTTAGCTTAGCTCACCCCTGATAGTGTGAAACAGCTAACGTTTACTTGTTATGTTTTAGTATTAATAATGATCAATTAACCTACATGACTGGTGTGCGTGTTCATAAAAGTATCAGGAAGGCATTACAGTAATTATATAATGTAATACTCTTTTATTAACTTGAGATCCTGAAGTTTTGAACCTAGCTAACCTTAGCTAACTTTCTCAGCCCCATATTCTTAAGGCATTACCAGTACAACCAACTAACTTCAAACCTTATTTGTACCAAATATTAGCCACGGTTACTTTCATATAACATATCATTGCCCTCTTTTTCTGACAGTCGTCATTGTAGCAGCTTGAGATGGCCACGAAGGGGAAAGAAACCCCCGCTAAAAAGGCTGCGGCGCCTTCAGTGTCTCAGATTAATGCTGAATATGTCACACAGGTAATTATGTTACATCAACCCTACACTTGTTGTCCAGCAAGATCTGTTGTAAAAACGTGTCCCATCCCTTATATATGCTGAAGCGACTTTTTTCTCAACCTCCAGTCAGTGTTTTTGCATATACCTGTAATTGATTTAATGCATCTGTCATTTATAATATGTTAGGAGGAGTGTACTCTTGACAGGAGACTTGCATGTTTGCTCTAGATCATATCATGTTTGATCTTAAGAGATAGTCAATCTAAGTTAAACAAGTTTCCTTTATGTTTAATACTATTATTGATTGTTTTCCTATTTATTTGTTCAGTTGGCTAATAAATATTGGGCTCCTCATGCAAAGAATAAGCTACCATTTGACCCAAAGGTGAGTTATATGTATTGAATTGTTGTTCTCTTTTGGCCAAGCAATTTGTTGTTGTATTGTTTATTTATCATAATGATAGTTACTTGTGTGTTTGAGTTTGATGCAATGAAATGGTAAAGTGCTTCTCTGACCAGTTCATGCACTCTGCCTGAACTCTACTCACCTGTTATGCTTTAAGCATGGAGGTGCTGATGCTCGGTGTGCATTTAACATTTACAAATTCTTCCCCTTTTTAAGGTATTGGAAGATGTTTACGAAAAAGAGATTCTCATGTCCAAGTAAGTGAATACTAACATAATAGTTGCCTTATACTGCTCCGTTTAATCACATATTTCACATCAACACTTAAACTAATGTATCTTTCTCTATTGTCCTCTTTTCATTTTACTTTCAGATTTGCCATCAGAAAAATTATGCTGCTTGAGTTCAGGTGGGAAATGTCACTTCATCTTCTTCCCTCTATTATGAAGAAGCCAATAAGAAAATATGTATTTAAACAACTTGGTGGATATATATTAATACAATATTTTCTCATCTATCAGCCAGTACCTTGAGAACTACCTGTGGGTGAACTACACTCCTAAAGTGTCCAGCAATGCCTACCTCATGTCCATTTGTTGCATCGTCAACGAGAAGTTCAGGGAGAATGTCCCAGCGTGGGAGGTAAGAAATGAAGTATCTCATCGAACACTTAACTGTTAATGCATGGTGACCTGGGCATCTAAAGACACCATATTGCAATGAGTTACTTCACTGTTTGTTCACCATCTTCACATTTACCCTTTAAAATGTATGGCTATCTACAGCATTATTGTATTTTTTGATTTGTGTGCATCAGGTGTTCAAAAAGGAGCCGAGCCATTTCCCTTTCTTCTTCAAATGTGTGATGGAGGCTGTATTGGCCAGTGAGGGGGCCGGCCTCAGTCTGAAGGAACAAACCGTGCTGCTGGTCTTCCTGGACCACTGCTTCAACAGTCTGGTAGGTACCATAACACTCATTACATTACATTGCATTTAGCTGACGCTTTTATCCAAAGCGAATTACAATAAGTGCATTCGACCAAGAAGATACAAACCTTGAAGAAAACAGAATCATATAAGTACATCAGGTTTCATAGAGCCAAACATTTCAAGTGCTACTCAACTGGCTTTAGATAAACCAGTCCTTTATTTATATATTTATATAAGTGCTTCGTTAATAGTTCTATCGCTCGAAGTGGAGACGAAAGAGATGAGTTTTCAGTCTGCGCCGGAAGGTGTGTAAGCTATCTGCTGTCCTGATGTCAATGGGGAGCTCATTCCACCATTTTGGAGCCAGGATAGCAAACCCACGTGTTTTTGCTGATGGGAACTTGGGTCCCCCTCGCAGCGAGGGTGCAGCGAGCTGTTTGGCCGATGCAGAGCGTAGTGCACGTGCTGGGGTGTACAGTTTAACCATGTCCTGGATGTAGGAAGGGCCAGATCCATTCGCAGCATGGTAAGCAAGTACCATTGTCTTGAAGTGGATTCTAGCAGTTACTGGAAGCCAGTGAAGGGAGTGGTGTGGGAACATTTTGGAAGGTTGAAGACCAGACGAGCCGCTGCATTCTGGATGAGCTGCAGAGGTCATCATATTTAATATCTTGACTCAATGGAGCAGTATGTCACTTTTATACACATTATAAAGTTTTCTGATGACACAGCCATACTTAGTCTACTGACTAGAGACTCAGACATTTCTATTTATAAACTTGAGATTGAAGAGGTCGTGAAGTGGTGTGAGGCGCACAACCTGGTGTTAAATGTTAAAAAAAACAAAGGAAATGATCTTTGACCCCAGGTCAGTAGGTGATCACAGCCCAGTCCTTATCAACAGGGAGGGAGTTGAGCACGTTACAAGTTTTAAATATTTTGGGATTTATTTTGATGCTCAGTTAGGCTGGGCCCATCAGGTGGATCAGGTATGCTCAAAGATAAGCCAGCGCCTGCATTTTCTGCGTAGGCTCAGGGTTCATGGAGTGGATAAATGTATCATGTTAATGTTCTACAGGGCAGCAATTGAGTCTATTATTCGTTATGGCATCACAACATGGTTTGGTAAATTGTCAGTTAAATCTAAATCACAACTCCAGAGCTTGATAAAAAGGGCTGGAAGCATAATTAGCATGCTTCCACCATCCTCTCTTCAGGAGATATTTGAGGAGATGGTGAGGAAGCAAGGCCGTAAAATCACATGCGACCCCAAACACATCCTGTATAGAGAGTTTGAGTTGCTGCCGCGGCAGAAGGTATAGATTACCAAACTGTAAATTGAACAGGTATAAGTTTTCCTTTATTCCGCTGTCAATCAAGCTGCTGAACAGTCAGAAACAATTGTGATTATGCTGTGTTAGGAGTTGTTGGGAGGTGCAATGTTTACAGTGTAGTTTGTGCAATCGAGAAGGTTAAATAGGGAGTGCAATATGTGTAAATAGGTATGGACACAATAGGGAAAGTGCAATATTTGATTTGTGTATAAATACAATAGGGAAAAGTGCAATAATTGATTTATGTATGTGCAATAGGGAAAGTTCTGTACCTGTATTATTTATTTGCCATGTGATATGTGATCTCTGTTCTGTATCTATGACCGATTGTCCTAAATGTTTTATGTTTATTATCTCGATTCCAAAGACAAGGGACACAATAAAGCTCTATCTATCTTTAGTTTTGTACTGCTGCTTTAAGGTCAATGACAACGTTTGTTTTGTATGTCTAGATTAATGGGAGTATCTATTCCTTATCGCATAACAGTAACATCTATTATCAAACTAGGGTTGCTTGACTTGGCTGTGTTTATTAATGCGCAGTAGAATATGAGAATACTTTATTCAGTGCGGTATATTCATTTGCTGTGTACTCTAATGCCTAATTGTTGGGAAGTGTTCATTTTACACCATTCTATTGTTACTCTAGACAATTAGCTTCTTACTCATTAATGCAAGCAATGCCTTATTCCCCAATATATTTGTGGAAATAAGGACCTTTTTTAGTAATGCCCACTAGATGGCAGTAGTAGACCAGGCAGTAACACCTGGGTCAGCTCCCACCCCTCTGGATGCTCTGCAGCCATTAAACCACAGAGAAGCACTGCAGATGTCTCACTTTAAAATCTGCTGTGATAGCCTGCTGCACTTTGATTGTATCCTATAAAGCCCTCTAAATATTTTAGTTGCATACTTTTATTATGGGCTGATGTGTAATAAAAATCTGTCATACACAGTGCATTTTGACCACTCTCTCTCTCTCCCCCCCCCCCCCCCCTGTGCGCCCTCTCCCAGGAGGTAGATTTGATCAGAGAGCAGGTGCAGCAGCTCATCTCTCTGCCTATGTGGATGGGCCTCCTACCAGTAAGATATCAACCTATTACCCTAATTAAGTTGATCTGGTGGTCATTGGCACACACTGTCATAATGTTTGATATTCATCATAGGAAACAATAACCTGCTTGTTATGATACTCAACGTTTGAAACAATGATCTGTTTGCTTTCATGTTTGCAGTCCAGACTCCAGCACGAGCTTAAGAAAGTCCCAAAGCTGCAGAAATTCTGGAATCTAATCAAGAAGAAATCTGATAAGATGGAGGCTGACGAAGCTGAACAGTAATAACATTTTCTTTTGCTTGTGTGTTGAGATCTATACACACTAGGAAATAGTGTTTGGTATCCTAGGAGTTGCTAAGCTTTTTTCTAATTTGCTTTCTTTGTGTCCTCCTCAGGGCACAGAAGGAGAGGGCATTCCTCTCAGCTCTCATTAAAAAGTTTCTTGGAGTTCTCGTGTCCATCCCGGCATTAGGTAAACAATATAAGTATTATGTTTATTTCCCTAGGAGTTCATAGTGTTATTGTGTACTTCTAATTCTAACATGAAGTGTATTCATGAAGACAAATGACCATGACACATTGGTCCTTTTTTTACTTATTTTGAAAAATTGTACATTTAAGGTTTTGGATTTCTAGCTCAAAATAAGTGTTTACATTTAATGAGTTTACAAATGATACTGGGTATTTTTGTTCCCAAAGCAGATCTTAGCTTCCGGCATGATTAGTGTACTAAGGATTTTCTATAGATTGCAGTGTCAGAAGATCATCTCTGGTCCCGGGCCATACTGCCAGTTTAAACCACAATATTACCCTTTCTTTCACTAGTTGCACTACTTCCTCCTTTACTTTCTGAGTCGTGCATCCGCCGAAGGAGCATGTGCTCCAGCTGCCATACAACCACTGGCACCGACTTCTACGTTGTAATGCAGGCCGACACAGAGGCCCCCCACCTGAATGCTAAAAACAGAACGTGTATTTGTGGGTTTAGGTAGAATTCAAACCTGACAGGGTAGATTACAATCCAAAGCCCAGCAGGATCCACATCACTCTAATGCGTGCTGCATGCCTCAACTTTAAGTGTGTACACACACACACACACACACACACACACACACACACACACACACACACACACACACACACACACACACACACACACACACACACACACACCAACATGCTTAATGAGGGCTGAGGTCCCAGCATGCTGCTGTGCTGGCAATGCAGTATCTCAAAGTGAGGATCACACACTCAGCATGGCACCTCGGTGATGTCCACATGCGTTTGCTGTCCTCATATCCTCTGTGATAACTGCACAGCCTCCTTTCCACTGCTACACCTCATCGTTATTTCCCCCTGGCTTTTTTTTTTGGCCTTGTTTGTCAAAAAGTCATGTCTGCTTGTCTGTCAGATTGTATTAGGCATTGTCAACATGTATTCCCTGACATCAAGTAAAGTGCTAACCTCAATGATTTTCCTCCTACCTTTTCCATAGGGCCTGTATCCATGGACAAAGTACATTACTGCGAAAGATTCATTGAACTCATGATTGATTTGGAGGTAAGACACTTCCTTCCATTGCAAAGCTTTATTCGGTTAATTTGACAATCTTTTGCCATTTGTACTTCCTCCCTGCCGACATTTTATTGCTTAATTTAAAATGCAGAGTGCGGGATGATGCACTCAGGCTTTACGCAGACTCAGCAGGCGCTCATCCCCACCGTGTACGTACAGTGTATTTGCTTAATCATGGTATTCTGATAAAGGAAGTGGTGTAGACATCCGTCTCTGCACAGCTCGTTTGCCCTTCACATTTCTAGCTAACTCAGGTCAACAGACAGCCAAATGTCCAGTCTCAGCTCCACCCGATGTGTCTCTGTCATTGCTGTCTGCAAAGCTATGCAGTATTTGAAACGGTTGTCTTTCATCCAAGTATGAAAGGTTATTTTTAACCTGAACGATTAATCGATTTTAAATCGAAATCGCGATTTGAAATGATGCAATTATCAAATCACAAAGCCTTTTTTTTTTTCTTGTGTGTCAGTCATCCACACCAATCAGAAGTGCTGTGCTCCACATGTACCAGCCATTGTTAATCAATCAGAAGTGGCCCATGATAGAAGGTGATAGACAGATTGATCCAATCACCTGCCAAGTGCTTCTGAAAGTGCCTGCTCTTTCCAAATGGCTTCCAATGGAGCTTTAGATGGTTTGGTGAAACAAACCATCTGGGTCAGGTTAGTAATGCTCCATCACATGTTTCTATTACAGGGTGAATCTTAAACTGAAGCTTGACTTTAAAGCAACCCAACGGAAGTTTCATGTAAGTTTAGTTTTTTCACTCGTAGCTCGGGCTGCGGGGGCGCTAGAGACGGGAGTACGTTGATACGACCTTCCTAGCCGGAGTTATGGCCGCATTTTACAATAAACTTCCGTTGGGTCGCTTAAAAACAAATATCGCAATTCGAATCGCAATATTTGTCAGAAAAATCGTGTAGCCCTAGTAAGGTGTAAGGAGTTATGTGCGGTGTGTGTGCTGGACATAAGAGTTATGACCTGAGACATTGTTCACTTCTGGAATAAACCCAGGTATTGAAGGAGCTCACCCTATTTTTTAATTTATCTGCCGTGTAATTTTTAAATAAATGTCTTGTCGATGAAATACACTAGCATTGGCTGTATTGTGGCGTGTTTTTGTTAAGACTAAGCTGGACGCCAGGCAAGTCCACTCTTAATACCTTGGCAAAATGTGGTTGTTGGCGTGGCTAACCACCAGTGGTAAAGTGCAGATAATGGTATGTAGCAATTGGGAACATAAAATGTGGAAAGGTCAGGCTCACAATGGAAACCGAGTAATTAATTCTCTGTGATATGAGGCAAGAACTTTTAAGAACCACCACCATCATATGGCTTAATTCAAAAGACCACATTTCAGGGAGCAAATGTGGCTAGCTATCTGGACTGAAGACACATACGATGGTTGCTGTTGTTGCCTGTGCAGATTTCCTGTTTCTAGCAAAGGAGCTGAATAGATTTCCTCTGGCTCTGGTGCTGACAGGCCGGCCTCGCTGTTCCTGGCAGCGGCTAGTGGCCGGCCAGCTAAAAGTCTCCAGAGACATCTCCTGTCCTTCAGCGCTATCCTTTTACAAAGCCTCAGTAGCTTGAAATCCATACTTCCCCCTCTCTGATGACGACCTGAAAATGAACACAGGAAAAAAGATCCTCGTTTTCATGTGTCTTGTATGCCGGCTGTCAGTGCTGTGTTGAGATCAAAGATGGCTGTTGGATATAAAGGTATCCAGTGTTTAGGTATCGCTTGCTGCACCTGCTCCCTTTGAAGATCTGTTTTCAATGAATAAAATAATGGATATGACGTTTTGTTGGTGCTTTGCATTTCAGTATTTCATATTCTTTTTCACAATGCCGTTTTCTTCTGGGCAGTTCTTTCTTTCTGCCTTTTTATACTATGATAGATTGAACCTCTGTGCACCAGTCATTCTATCTCTTAGGCTGTCAGTTCATCAACATGTACCGTAATTCTTTGTTATATTTACACCAAAGCGGCCCTTTCATCTCATTTTGACAGGTTTCCCTATTACTTGCCTTCATGTCATGTACGCATGCTTCAGCAAGCACATGAATGATGTCTAGAGCAGTGATCTTCACATATCACTGCCAGCCTGCCCTATTGTTTGCCTCTCTATCATACAATGCAAAACAACCTCAAGACAAGAAAAGCTCATGGATCAATAAGATGTATGGATAATCATGGTCCAGATGCTGGGAAATGCTGTAGTTGTGGAGCCAATTGATTCGTGAAACGTCTGTTCGTACAATACCTAATTCTTTCCACCATGATGGAGGGCGATCTGAACCCTTTCCTGCACAAATGAGCTCGTCTTATTTTGATGCTGTCTACTGATAAAGAATGCTTTTTACACCGGATGTATTCAGGTATTTTGTTACAAGCTGTAAACGTGGTGTCTTGTGTGTTTAGGCCCTGCTGCCCACCAGGCGTTGGTTCAACACCGTGTTGGATGACTCTCACTTGGTGGTCAGCTGCCACCTCTCCAGTCTCGTCCACAGAGAGAAGGAAGGACACCTCTTCTGCCAGGTACAACACGATAGCAGACACAAATACACTTGAAATGATTGTATGCTGAAATGAAACCACCTCTGCTCTGTTTTTTCAAATGTAGAAGTAACTCGTATTGTTGTCTCCTCTCTGTAGTTGCTGGACATGCTGAAGTTCTACACAGGTTTTGAGATCAGTGACCAGACAGGAACTGCCCTGACGGAGAAAGAGATGACCACTCTGCACTATGACAAAATCCTCTCTTTGCAGGTAAACACTATACATGGATAAGGACCGAAATGCAGTGGCATTAATCAGCTGCCTGCTTCGTTTCTGTTGTTTGAAACACAAAGTATTCAGGGTGTTCTACATATAGTTCTTCTTTATGATGGAATATTTGGCTTCAATATAAAATGATACAGGCAGTGACCAAATTACATTTGTATACTTGTGACAAATGATATATGTAGGGTTGGGAACCGAAACTCGGTTCCAGATGAGAACCGATAAGAAAATGCCGGGTACCGGGTGCCCATACAAAATACACAATTTCGGTTCTGCTTAACGGTTCCTAAACGCGGTAGACCCTGTATTCCAGCGGGTCCGTCTGCACCGCGGTGCTGCGGTGACCCGGTGGAATACAGGGCGGACCTAGAGAATCACAGAACGGCCGGTCGTCAGCGGGCCGTTGACGGCCGGCTCGGTACGCTGACGGCCGGCACCGCCCTTCATTTTTTTAAACGGCATCATATAAATTGCGCTGACAGGCGACAGAGGTCCACAGTTGCCCCGCAGCGATGCTCCCCCGCCCTCCCGTAGACATTTCACGAGCTCAATCACTTCATAACACCAAAGATAGGTCGCGGTAAACGCTCTGAAGTGAGGCTCCACTACATTAAAAAAGAAAAGGAAAAGTGTAATGCTTGTTAATAGCTTGCCACAGGCATAGCTCAGTTAAAATAAAGCACAGCTATTGTGCAATACATTTGTATTGCATGTATATTTTTTAGTAACAATTTCAGTTAAAGCTTTTAAGAATAAATATATTTTTGTTATCTAAACGTTTGACCTCTTTATTTTACAATTTTGGAATCGAAACGGGGAATCGATAAGAACCGGAATCGATAAGCAGACCGGAATCGAAATCGGAATCGATAAATTTCAAACGATACCCATCCCTAGATATATGTCTTAAGTCGGTATTGTATATCTATCTATTGCCACACCCGAGACTGTTGCCATGTTTCCTAATACTTTTGGAGAGGCGTTATCTTGGTAAAGGCAATGCAGTAATAAAGAGTAATATGTTTTTAATTGTGTTTTGCTTTGTGTTTTGTGTCTTGCAGAGAGCAGCATTTGCTCATTTCCCTGAGTTGCAGGACTTTGCTCTGTCCAACGTGGCAGCAGTAGACACTCGTGAATCCTTGACCAAACACTTTGGGCATCTCAGGTAAAACCAGATGTGGCGTTAAACCTAAAAGGCGTTAGCATGTGTTTTTTTATTTGATCTAAATGGACTACTTGATGTGTAAACATACTGCATATAAAACCTTGTGTTGGTTCACCCTTTCTGCTTTTCACCATTCTGCTTCATATACGTATATATATATATATATAAGTACTTCATGTACGAGTGTACTTTATTTCTTTAAAAGTGTCATCATACAGCACTGTCAGTGGCCAAGAGTTCCATGCTTTGAAACCCTCCAGCAGATGATCTGACCTTTTATTTGAGGTTCTTTGGAGCTCCAGAAATGACAAACCCCAGTCGAGAAGTGCCCACGCAGACGTCACTAAGTAGCAGTACAGCATCAGCACCGTTGCTGCCTGTTTTCCCTGCTAAATGGCAGCTAGTGAGCCCTTAAACAGGCAGCTGGTACCAGCCAGAGAGAGAGGCACGCCTCATTAATTTAATCGATTTGCAGTGGCTTGAGAATAAACTGTCTGAACAGCTGTGTTTGTCAGATCATATTAGCTTGCCAAAGAGCTAAAAAGCACCCTCGCTTTGAACTAGCCTGTGTGTGGGATATTTAACCTGTGCACATGCGTGAAGGGGAGTAAAAAGACATTGATTTAATTCTAACTTATAATTACTTTAGGGTTTCTAATCGCTCTTGTCATTTTGATGTTATAATGAACATTGACCAAAGCTTTTCGAAGGTCTTTAAACCACCAATGTTTTAGCTCTACGACAAACTTAAACGAGTAGCTGAATACTTGTTTGTTTAGTATGTTTTGTCTTTATTCGTCATGATTTCTCTGACCGTGTAGGAACAACATACATTGCCTCTTCGCATTTGATGTTTGCATATCCATCACCTCTTTTTAACTTCTTTAGTGGATTATAAATTCTTAAATCCCAAACTTAGTTTCTTTGAGTCAGGCAGAGGGTTATGAGCCGCGCTGAGCTGAATCAGGTAAAGATTTGAGCTATACCATCTCATGCATTTCAAGAGGCTCTGCTCCTTCTCCCAGAATTAGGGTTTTGAATATAGCAGGAACTGCATTGTTCCCTGCTCCACAACTGTCACCAAAGCAGCTCCTGGGTAACTCCAAATATGCCGATCAGATTTAACGAGGCACTTTTCATCCAAACAACTCATGCTAATGCCAGTTTATTCCAGCTGCTCTACCCACGGGCTAAGCTCCCAGTCACCCGCCGCTCTGCATTTATCCGCTAAGTCCCCCAAACACACAAACGCAGCATTATTGCTTAGTCTGCCCACACATATACACACCCATTCTCACACACACACACACTTTCAGTTACATAGAACATGTTAGTATGTGTGAGCGTCATTTCAGGCCAAACGTGAATTGACTACATGATCAAAGAGTATGCAGCACTTTGTGAAATGCTGGCAAAATTGAAGAGAGTCATCAAAAGCAAAAAGAAAGGATGTAATTGGGTCTGTGGATTAGCTCTTCAGCGTGGTACTGTCATTGAAAAGGGTCTTGGATTTGATCGATTATGCTTCTCATTTAATCCTGGTTCCTTTTCTGACGGCTTTATGTAAAGAAAAGAAAACATTGCGAAAGCATAAACGTCCTCAATACTTAGCAGATTTAAGCTGCCGGGAAACACATTTTTGTCATGGGTTCTTTTTCTCATGTTGTGTGTAGCTAGCTGAATAAAACTGCCCCTATTGGACTAAGAATTAAATGTAATTGACAAAAATACACTTTAGCTAAAATAGATGATCCAAAGTCTGAACAAGAAGCCTTTAGGTTGTTTAGTAAACTTACTGTAGACCAGTTTCTGTCATGTCCCCATCCTTACCTTACCCTGCCCCTAGCTCAGCTGTCAGTCATGACCTGGTCCAGTCATTTCCATTACTCAAGAGTGCTGCTGTTATTTTATTAAGGTAAGGAATGTCCACATGACCTATGCCAGGTCATCCACTGAGCCACCAAACTGCTACATTGGCAGAATTGCCGCCCAACTGTCCCAGTGCGGCATCACAAGTAGCAGAATTGATGCACATTCACGGATTCAGCCGGTCAGGGCCACGTGTGGCTGTCCAGGGCTGTCACAATGTGTCCAGGCCCTGTCCTTCGTTGTGTACCAGACCCTGCCTGTGTCACAGTGTGTCAGCCTGATTAAAACAGGTCTGTATGCACAGAGCCATGCCTCAGCTTTCTGAGAAGGAGATGGGCTTTGATTTTCATAATCCTGTCGCATCAGTGCTCCCCGGCCCCTTAACACACATGCTGACAGAGCAGGAGTGAGTGTCAAAGCAAACACAGGAATTGCTTTGTGCCACAGTGCTAACAAGCACAAAGAATTCGATAAGCCGGTGTATCTTCACACATAAAGTGGTGTTGCTGTAGCCATTTGAAATGTCTTTCTGAGAAGGGGATGTCGTTTTCTAGGAGAGAGGCTGATCATGCAGTTTTTTCTTTTTGGAAATATGATGCAATGATACCACAACTAAATGTTGTTTTAGACATCAGATGATCTCTTTCTCATGATTAATCTTCACCATTGTCTTTAGAAACCAAATAATTACATCTGCTTGTTGTCATCCCTTATCTTCAATAGTTTTTCAGCTGACTAACCTCTTGTTTCTCTTCTCCGTAGTCCCAATACGCTCCACCAGGTGGCCTCGTATTTGTGTCTGCTGCCAGAGCTGCCTGAAGGACAAGACACCACCTATGAGAAGGAGGTTCTCCTTGAGCTTCTGGTAAGTGCAGTCATGACTTTAGTTTAGTGTCTGTTATACAATGCAAGTCTTAGGCTTCATAGTGGAAGGGTTTCCCTTGACTGTGACCGCCCAGATTGATGCCTTTAACTCTAAAATAGACAAACAATTTTTTGGACAAGCATGCACCTTCATCCCCTAAAGAGACAGAGGGTGACCCATCATTGTCTCACAAAATCCTGTTTGCATTTGGATTTTATAGATTGTAGAGATAAAAACAAATGTGACCTGGATGGAAATGCAGAAAGGTACCAGTGACATATAGCGTGTACATTTGGGAAACCTTATGGCAAACCAAAGTTGCAAAATGATTATCCACAATCATTTTAAACTGAAAATATGCTACTTTTCTGTACATCAAATATATATATTTTTTTATCCTAGACCATATTTATTACCCAAGACATTTATTTATTACATAGAAATGCATTTGTATAAGGGGATGAAGCAATACTTCACTGTGTGCTTGTCAACCGGCCTTATAAAGACTGCATAATTGGTATTGGTGCACCTCTACTAAGATGCTGGTGAACAGTTATTTTTCAGAACAATAACCGGCCGGTCAGCGCTGCGGCATAATAGGTTTTATGTTTCTCATATTAAAGTCATTCAGCCCTTGACCTTGGAATACGTACAGAATCCCCTCTTCACTGCCCGTCCCTCTTGAATTTGCCTTCTAATCCAATTACTCCCTTATTTGGGCATTTGTGTGTCGTAGGGTAAATTGGACGAAGTGCTGATAACATAGAAATACATTTTGTTCTTACTTTTTTATATTCAAAAAAACTATAGCTAGTTTGATTGTCCTCTCTGGTTCCACTTCCCCTTGTTTCCCAGTTTGATTATTTTTAAAACCCCCCCGGGAAACGACTGAAGTGTCCCAGCAGACACTCACACATGCGCTGTAGACCTCTTCATCTAAGTGGGTGTTTCAAGGCTGTCCTGCAGTTATTCATAATTACCCACTCAGACCCTCCCCAGGTCCTTTTCAGAGAAGCAATGGAGAAAAGCCATTTCATAATTATCTGATTAGATTGTTGCAGGAGACAATGTCAGGGGACTCATTTGTGTGCGCCTGAGGTTGCCCCCAACAACCAACATCTCTGAACGAGTGGGTTTAAGCGGAAGGGCCCACAGGGCTAGAATTCTGCCACAAGGTAGCAAAAGAATTGTACTTGCTCCAGGGGAAATAGCCATAAATATGCTTAGGGAGAAGGGCCCATTGTTTTTGAGAAACACTCCTGCTGTTACACCACAGCCTGTGTTAAGGCTTTTATTTCCTCTGGAGGAACCGATGAGCCGATATGTATTCTGATGTCAATAGTCCTCCCCTTGACATATTAGATATAATGTATGTGTGCAGAAGTGAATGCATTAAAATAGAGTTTCCACGACATGTTATAAAAAGGTTTCAGGTAAACTAGAGATTTACCGTGGGTATGATGTAACATATTTTGAAGTGACCTGGTTTTGTTTTTTTCTTTATTCCATGGTATGTGTTCTAGTAAGGGAGAAGATAAACATCAGGGACATGTGTAATTCATCTAATTTCTCTCTGTCTCTCTTGCTGTCTGCCACACACAGGTGTCCCGTCATGAGCGCAGAATCTCTCAGATCGAGCAACTTAACCAGATGCCCCTTTATCCAACAGAAAAAATAATCTGGGATGAGAACATTGTCCCGACAGAGTACTATTCAGGCGAAGGTGTGTGTTGCATCTGTGAAATGTGATTTGGTTTGCATTACTGTGCCTGTTTTAGTCTAGGAACACTAGAGCACACATTCAAAAATCAGTTTTTGTACCCACACCTTGTTATCTCTTATCACTTATCTGGCACTGAACTGGCATCTCTCTCGGGATTCCTCTTTAGTTGTCAAGGTCACCTTTAACAACTCTCGGAGCACAAGCAAAAGCCCTTAAGCATACTTTGACTGTAACATATAGACATTTAGCCTCTGTAGAAGCAACAATTCAAACTGTTGACATTACAGATGTTGCTTCATAAAATGTTGGTCATTTTGTAATTGAATACAAATACAAATGATGAACTGATTATTGTAAGTGTGTGTTATTACTCAAAAAATGTGAATAATGTTAACGCTGTCTCTTTCTATTTCTCTCTTTGTCTTTTCAGGCTGTCTAGCGCTACCTAAGCTGAATCTCCAGTTCCTGACCCTCCATGACTACCTGTTGAGAAACTTTAACCTGTTTCGTCTAGAGTCCACCTATGAGATCAGACAGGACATAGAGGATGTGGTTTGGCGTATGAAACCATGGTGAGGGCTTTCTACAGAAACATATCTTTCTTGTATGCTCATATTGTCAATATGTAGGGTAAAACGCTAGGAATAAAATACTATAGAGGAAGTGGTTAAAAGGTTCATGTGCAATAAAATGAATTTGAATATCATCATATACAAGTTATATGTTTAAAATAGGATTCTCGCACACTGATAAGCAGCTTTGGTTTCTCTTTCTAAGTAGAACAAATCTCTACAGCACACTTTATAACGTATTTTTAACATCAATGAATAAAGGTCCTTACCCTGTGTCCCCCTTTCATTTGATTAAGTGGCATTGCGGATTGATAATGTTTTATTAAAAAACTGTGGTATTTTGTAAACCACATTTGGAAACTGCATGCTTAACATAATACGTGCTCCCATTATGTCAACTTGTTTGTTGTTCCTGCAAAAGTAAATAAGTAAGCAGTAGTGCCATGTGCTGCCCTAAATCCAACTGATTTCAATCTTGACAACAGCCCACAGCGCTTGTCTAACTTCTTGTCGTGTCTGTCCCTTTACGCAGGCAGTCGGAGTACGGCGGAGTGGTGTTTGGGGGCTGGGCCAGGATGGCTCAGACCATCACCTCCTTCTCCATAGTGGAGGTTGCCAAGCCAAACATTGGAGAGAGCTGGCCGGCCCGTGTGCGAGGGGACGTCACTGTAAATCTGAATGTACAAGATCATATCAAGCATGAGTGGGAAGGTAAAATGTTTTGTCAATACTTTTACTGTATTTGAACCAGTTTTTATGAAGGTCTGTCCACCATTTATATTGCTATCCTGCATTCTCAATCTATTTATAGTTACTCTAATGGAAAGGGAGAATTAACAACAACGTATTGATTACAAAACACATCCTCACACACTTCATGCCTATTAAATCTGATTACCCTCCATTTAATTTAGACCTGCTACACATTGTCTTCCCTCTATATTCTCTTATTGTGTCTTCTAGGAGTCCTAGTAAGCCGTTTATAACCACCATAAAGTCTTCCCTCATCCCACTGGGCCTTGACTCATGACCCTCACCAGCCTCATGTCTCTGTGAAGACATGCTATTTCTGGGTAGCCTCTACAACTGAGCCGCTTTGTTTTATTTTCTGATCATTTTCCTCTCCGTTTCTCAATGTGGCTGATAAGGGCACTGTAGATAATGATTACAGTAGCTTGTCAGCCTTGAAAGACATTGATTCACTGGGATGCACATAGATGCCCAAGGAAGCCGTCGGCCAGCTGACTGCCATAGCTCTTCGGAGAAAGACATAGGATATATTCATACACTAATGTATGCCAATGGGGTATTGCACTGATTAATGTAGAAAGGAAATGGGCTCTTTCAGTGGGCAAATGCTGTAGAAGTAATGAAGTGATAACTGGCTAAAAAAAGTAAGCCTAATGTATCCCAAATTGATGTCTTAATTTCCTTCAAACCCAATTGTATGGTTTCACTTTCTTTTGTGTAATTTCAGTGAAGGAATGGTGTATTTCCTCATAACCAATAGCTCTTACCCCATCATATAATTAGAGCATCATGTTTTATAGATCAGGCTAATGCTGAAAGGGCAGTTTCTCTTGCACCTCCACTCTCCCCCAACACCTTGTCTCACTCCCTGTCACTTCTCTTTCTCCCTCTGTCCCCTCTTTGTCTAAAACCCTTATTTTCCTTTGTTCTTTCTCTCTAACCCCTCTGTTCATCCCTTTTCCCCATAGGGCTGCGGAAGCATGACGTTTGCTTTCTGATCACGGTGCGCCCCAACCTGCCCTACGGCACGCGCTTCGACCGGCGCCAGCCCTTTGTGGAGCAGACGGGCCTGGTGTACGTGAGAGGCTGCGAGGTGCAGGGCATGCTGGATGACAAGGGGCGCGTCATTGAAGAAGGTATGATCCTGTGTGCTCCTGCCCACACACAGACACACACACACACACACACACACACACACACACACACACCAGTGACACACGACATCCACCCACCCGTCAGACCTTCTGTCTCCCCAACGACAGATCCTGAGAGAGGGTCAGACTGGTGTTGTCATGGTGACAGTCACATTGAGACCTGACCTGTTCACATTAACATTCCATTAACCTGAGGTCGACAGCAACACCTGAGAGATTTGGACCCTGCCCTCTGCTTCCTTTATTGGATTTAAGGGAAGTGTTGCATTGGCTATACAGGGATTCACTCTATGCTGAAAGAGAACACTGATTGTGCTCTTCCGACAAAGTTTAGCCAGTTCTATTTCTAAGCTGTTGTATTTTGCTAATAGAAACATTCTGTTTTTGTCCACGCGTAAGGAATCCCTACATATCAAATTTAAACTCCTGGTCTTTCCTTGAAATTAAAATATGTTTATACAGCATCACAATCTCCTCTGTTTCACTGACATGTTTTTAACCACAGCCCAAAGCATTCCCTCGGAGTCGTCGGTTCACCTAAATTAGTTCGCAGCCCTGCTATTCTAAGCCTTTGCTTTTGTCCCTGTCAGAACATGTTTCCGTGCACTGAAGCTCCCTTTCCCCTATCCTCTCATCTGTTTGGATTAAATATGCAGAGGGCAGGGCTTTCTAACTAGACATGCAGCCTGCAGGGAACATGCCCTGAGATTGTTGGCTTGGTTAAACTTTCAGATCCCCAACGGGCCTAAGTGGTACCCAAGGTAACTGGGTGGATGAGTTGGACATACATCATTGGGCACTTGAAGGTGAGATGCAAGCTGAGAAGTGCAAAACAATAGGGCTTAAATACAGAATATTTGTAGGAAATATCAAAACAGTTAAATCTAAATGTGTATTGATTTAATCCAACCTTTTAATAACTGACAGCTTAACACAATACCTACAATGGCACGTACATCAATCAATCAATCAATGTTTATTTATATAGCCCAATATCACAAATGTTACATTTGTCTCAGTGGTCTTCACAGTTTGTACAGAATATCAGTATGGCAATACGACACCCTCTATCCTTAGACCCTCACATCGTACAAGGAAAAACTTCCGGAGAAAACCCACAGTTTAAAGGGAACATGGGAGAAACCTCAGGGAGAGCAACAGAGGAGGGATCCCTCTCTCAGGACGGACAGACGTGCAATAGATGCCGTGTGTAAATTGAAAAGATAATTCATTTGCAACATAGGTAGTCCAAATGTTTGGAAATGTATGTGTGTATAATAGGAAGATGAATCCACAAGGATATCCATCCAGGACTTATGATCCAGGACCACAGCCACGACTCAAGATCCAGGGCTCGCGATCCAGGACACAGGACCGCAGGATCATCCATGACTCCGGATCCCGGCGTATATAGACACCAAAAAGAAAGAAATGTGGGGAAGCTGGGTTAATCGGAACATGAGAGTACACGGGTATAGACAGAGAGAAGGAAGAAGTAAGATGTCCCCCGACAAACTAAGCCTATATCAGCAAAACTAGGGGCTGAATCTAATCAGCCCTAACTATAAGCTTTATCAAAAAGGAAGGTACTTGTTTTAAAACACCTTGGCCCAGCTGTCCACATTGTTATTCCATGCCATTGAGGGTGTAGCTTCCACCCGTAAGCTTTCATACTCCTTTTAGTAAGGGGGATTTGATCATCCACCATAGCTGTACACGTGTGCACACAGACAGACATACACATAGATGGTCTCACACACACATCAGATGCCGAAGGGATCGAGTTTCACTTTCCTGCTCTGTGCCCTGCAGCGCCATACAAGAATCTATTTAGACATCTGTGAAAGCTGCACTTGCTGCAGCACACAGGCTCCCTATGGGGGAAGCCTTAAGCCCGTGGCCTGTCAGTCAAGCATCTATGTAATTCCTGTTCATGGGGACTCGCAGAACTGTAGCAAGGCAAGCCAGGGTGAACTCTCCTCTAAGTGTTTTGTTTAGAATGTAAGGATGGATATTGTTAAGAAAATGGTGTTAGGATTACGTCATTTGTATTCAGTTTTCGCGTTTAGCACTTCGAAAGAATTGCATTTAGTATTGTTTATCACTTAAGGTTGTCATCACTACATTGGTGTAACACTTATTCCCCGCCAAATCCTCTGCTCTAGGACCCGACCCGAAGCCTAAGCTGCGAGGAGACGCCAGAACCTTCCGTGTATGGCTGGACCCAAACCAGTATCAACAGGATATGACCAGCAGCATTCAGAGTGGCACAGAAGACCCTTACGAGTCTTTCAACGTCATCATGAGACGCAAACCCAAGGAGAACAATTTCAAGGTTCAGACTATACGCTAAAGCACACACTATGTTGTATTGAGTAGTTAATCTACAGACCATGAGCTCTGGTCCTGCCAACACTACCCTAGAGTGATGTATCGCACATATTACACTCTCTTGGGTGTTGTAGCTGTAAGGTTGGGGCCAGGGCAGCCCTGAGATTACCACCCACTCAATGAGAGACACTTCTCACTGGATATTCATGTGTTGTGTACCCCAACCTCGCCCTAACCTTTAAGCATTCTCCTGTGGCAGCAAGCCATCAGTGTATACTAATAAACCATTGTTTATTGTCAGTATGACATACAGGTGCCAACAGCAGAGAGGTTAATATATGTAGATGTTATTGCAGATATTAAAAAGCAGGTCATACTAAAGTTGTACATGTAAGTGTGTGAAACTTTTGTTAGATATGCCATCTGTCTTTTGCTTCATTTTGTTCTACTTATTTTTGTTTTGGATGTTAATCATTGCAAAAAACTCTTGCTGTTTATCACATCTTTTTATTTGAGAGCCTCTTATTACTGCTTTGTCAAAACTGCTATTTCTAATTCGGCGCACGCATTCCCGTCTTTCACAGACGGGGAAATGACAGCTTATTTTGAAGTGTTTTTTTTGTAATGAATTTCAAATGAGCAGGAACTAATGGGTATTCAGGAAACATTCTTCTCCATCTTTGATGTGTGACATAGATAGAAGTAAACGCGTTCCCCTACCCGGTGTTTGATGTTCAGGGTATTAGACAGTTTGCAGTTCATTAAAATATAATTGACAGACATACAAATTACCTGCTGTCCCATCAGCCCACCACAAAGCTATTCTTGTCCAGCTAAAACAGCTCTTGTGGGAAGGTTGTGTATTGTCTGACGACGCCCACATTTCTCTGTCTCTTGGTTTTAGGCAGTGCTGGAGACCATCAGAAACCTGATGAACACCGAGTGTGTGGTCCCAGACTGGCTTCACGACATCATCCTTGGCTATGGCGACCCAGGCAGCGCCCACTACTCCAAAATGCCTAATCAGATCTCCACGTTGGACTTCAATGACACCTTTCTGTCCCTGGACCATTTACGATCGTGTTTCCCTGATTACACCATCAAGGTCACCGAGGACGACCCCGAGCTGCAAGTCTTCCCGTTCAGGTGAAAGTCAAACATCCAATAATCACATCATAAATACAAGTGTTATTGCTGTTGAACGACCTTCTTCAAAATAAATGTATAGGCTAATTACCATGTTTAGATACGGTTAATAATATATATTGCATTATAGCATATTATATTTTACTCACCATCTTCCTTTTGCTTTACCAGAATCAAGTTCCCAATCTCCAAAAAAGCAGAAAAAGGGAAGAAAAGAAAGACTGATGAACCAGAAGAAGACCAAAGTGAAGACAAGACCTTGATCGTTGAGCCCTTTGTCACCCCCAACCGCGGGCCATATCCCTACAACCAGCCCAAAAGGTGAGAGGTCACTGCGCACATTCAGGCTTCTCGTTCACTATAAAATGATAAAGGGGGTCAAAGGTTTTTTTTACCTCAAATATACCATACTATTTTGAGTATAAAGAAATGGGGACTTATTATGTACTAGACAACACTCATTTAATTTGTTTGTCTCCATGGTGTTTCGCAATTAAAGCTGCAGAGCAAATATTTGTTTGCTAACTATAACACCAAATAATAGCAAATTAAAGATTCATCTTGTAGTGTTTGAGCATTTCCGAATTACACTTTGATATTTCAATCTTGATATAAACAACACGTCCGTGGGGAAGACCTGATTTAACAATCTTTAAAGATGCAATACAAATAATATTTGGAGCATCTCTTTAAAAATAGTGAAAGAATGCTGTCAAGGATATTCAGTATTTCCAACTAATTACAAGATGTATTAAAATAAGCAATGTTCATGTTTTACAGGAACACAATTCAGTTCACTCCTACTCAGATTGAAGCCATTCGGGCCGGGATGCAGCCAGGCCTCACCATGGTAAGCATTCAAGACAGAGTGTACACACATAAACAATAATCGTGAATATCTGGTTTTCATGATATACTTGTGTAGTCACCCTCTCTATTTATGTTTGGAAGATGATTTGATAGCAGTACAGATATGATTAAACTTTAGTGTTTTGTCTCCAACTGTATTCTTTTGGTAACAGAATAAAATGAGTTTATCGTTGTGGACTAAATTAGAATAAGAAGCCATGTGTTTAACCCATCCTATATCCAGGGGTGGGATGCTCCAGATTCCACCTCACTGATATACATATTTGTAACTATTAATCTTTGTGATATGCACCAAAGCAAATTCCTTCACCTTTAAATATGCTGTTGTAAGGTATCTCTATTTCCATCACTCTTGTAACGTGATGACACATTCCCCTAAAACCTTCTCTGTCATTTTGGCACTGCTGATAACATAGTCAGCCGCACATAAAATGACACGTATGACAGCTATGGAGTCTATACACACATCCACAGCTCTGTCATTCCAGCCTGCTATTGTTAGCTGAAGAAACACACACTGTTCTGACAAAAGTGATTTTGGTGTGCTTGATTGATGTGGTAGTTGGAAGAGTTATTTATTATATAGCCAGCAGAGGAAAGTAGGCTATCATCAGAGTCTTAAAACAACTCTACATGCATGCCTTTCTCCGCTCCTCTCCTCACCCCGTCTAACCTTCCATCTTGGCATATGTCATTAGCAGCCATAACAAACACACACCACCTCCCAGTCTGCCTGGCTTGGCTCTCATGTAGAGCACATTATCATCCCGTTTATGCCGGAATATCTAATTGTACCCACTATTTTTGTTGAAATGACTCACCTTAGATGCCCACGCAAAGACCAACCCCGTTTCATGAATATGTATGTAGTAAATGAGATGCTGTTCCCCCCCCTTGTTCAGTAAATGTGTTGCTCAGTTTCATTATCATGGTGACCTGTATAAATAGATGATGTGCTACTAGCATTCAAACAACAAGTACAGAAGGGGGCTAGAGAAAAACTCTTGCCTCCTGTATCTTTTTTTTCCATTTTCAGTATCTCTGTATATTTGCCCATCTGTGCAGTCACTGTGTCTTAGCATGCCAGGCAGCACCACAGCCTTGTTGCTTTGTGTATCTGAGCACGGCTAGCGATGGAGCACCAGCCTAGCCCGTTCTGACATGCACATGGCCTAGCTGTCACAACCACTAGGGTGTCTCCAGGGCAAGCGCCTATGCAATGTGACCTTACTTTGGTTTTTGCTCATATTATCTTCTGCTTCTTTCTGTCAAAAAATGTATTTCTTTTCTCACACCTCCTTCTTCATTGGTTCTGTGTCTCTAGGTTGTTGGACCACCAGGTACCGGAAAGACAGATGTTGCCGTTCAGATCATCTCCAACCTCTATCACAACTTTCCTGAGCAGAGGACCCTGATAGTCACACACTCTAACCAGGTTAACTCACCACACACTACGTCTACACCCCAAAGAAAAAACATCTCCTCTAAAACACCCCGTTTAAAAAGCCGTGCAGCCGTCTGGAGAATATAGAGCTTGTACTCAGAGCTGCCCATTAATCAGCCAAAAGTCATATTCAAACCATAGAGGAAAAATTAAAATCTAATCTCCCTTGCGACCCGGACTCTCCTCAGTATTTAATCATAAAGTAATCTGCTGTTGTTTTACAGCAGTGGAAGCTTGCCAAAAAAACCTGGATGTAATGATGAAAATGCAATAGTTACACTTTCGATTTATATTATTGATACAGGAAGACATCTTCATCATAGCATGAGAAATACCTCAAATATATTACAAACAGCACTGTATGAAGAATTGGTCCAAATACATAGAGGAATAAAGAAACCAAAAATCCATAAAGGTTGTTATGAACCATGTTTATGAAAAAAGCACACACAAACAAATATATTTTCTCTGTCTGAACATGTTTTTTTTGTTTCCATGGTTCATTCTTCATCAGGCTTTGAACCAGCTGTTCGAAAAGATCATGGCTCTAGACATCGACGAGCGCCATCTCCTGCGTCTTGGCCACGGAGAAGAGGAGCTGGAAACTGAGAAGGACTTCAGCAGGTGAGGACAGCCAGGGGCAGGTGGCGAGAGAACACACACACACACACACACACACACACACACACACACAAATACACCAACACACACCGATAGATGCACCTAAACAAACAGACATGCTGATGTGGTAATTAAGACAAATTGAATGTATACCTGAACTATCTTACAGACTTATATTATAGTGCATAACAATTACCTTTACAGTTTGATCAAAGCAGTCAATACACACAAATGCATCCCAGCTGCTCACATACATAATTAGTCTGAGCAAACACAGTAACAGCGCTACTCGATACTCTCATATGCGAGCCATGGACTTGGTTCATCTTCATTAGACATTGAAGGCCATTCCACCAGTGTAAGTGATCTCTCCCTGCAGCCCTGCACTCAGAGGCAGTTCCACTTGCTCTGCTCTGGACCATGTAAACTCACCTCATGCCCCATGGTAGTAGGAGGAATCTTTTTAATGTAAAAACAAAAGAAAGGGGTTTGCTATAAATTCAACAGGGAAATAGCTATATGTATTGTGGGGGAAAATTCTGAAGCAATTGGAAACAGGAGCTTTGATGGCAAACACTGATGGTTTATTTGGAGTTACGGCCGGAGAATTTACAAGACAGGTGGTGTGTCACGAGTGGACACAGCAGTTGCCAAACCAATTCTGAAGAACTCTTCTGCAGCTCGAGGTTTTATTTAGTTCGGAGTGTAATAATCAACATTCTTCATCAGTGAGACTAAAGCAATATGGACCCTGAATCTAACTAGAGCTCTCGTCCATAGAAAAGAATGTGCGCCAGGGAACCTACGTCCCTGAACAGTAAACTACCTCATAGCGGCTTGTGCTCTGTCATAGACTGGCAACAACAATGCGCCCAAGCGGCTCCTCCTTAAAAGAGATAGCAGCAATACCCAAGGCCGTAGAACTACGCCATGGGAAAGGAGACAGTGAGAGGAGAGAATTATGAACTGTGTCAAAGGTTAAATACCTAAGCAAATTATTCCCCAACAGTTTCTCTCTTTTTATCAATTGTGATAACCTAAAAACCTATTTTAATAATAATTTGTTCAATACCCTAATAAATAAGGTTCTTCAGAAAGGGTGTAGGCATTCTACACAATGTTGCAGTGAGAAGAGAAAATGATGAACTGATGTATTTTAATTCCCATGCTCCATTAGGCCCTTTTTAATGAATACATAATCAACACTAAGACAAAGAAAATACTTGAATAAATGCACAAAGAAATACATAATTACATGAATAAATAATTTCATTTCAGGTTTAAAGACCTTTTTTTAAATGTTTATTTAGCTCAGGTCAGGAAAAAGCCCTCCTTTATCTGAGGTGGCCACATTCTCTGACTGTGATCTTTTTGTAACTTTTTTTCCTACACCCTAATGGACACACAATACACACAGTGCTGCTATTCTCCATGTAGCACAGGTGGCAGAGCCAACAACAAATGGCCTCAGACAGGAACCACTAGAGTCCTGTTAGAAGCCCCGGTAGTTCCCAGCTCTCTTATCCCCATTTATGTGTAAACTCCAGTGTGTGTGGGTCTGTGTGTTATGCCTTGAAGGATAGTGACTCAGTCCTTACTACTGAGACATAGTGAGATGGGGTAAAGAGACGTTTGGGGGCAGTGCACTTTAAGCCCTCACGATATACTGGAGAAACAGAGACTATAGCCGCTTTCACACCGCAGGACTTGCCGCACTTTAGTGCCGGCACTAAAGTACCACGGCACTGAATCCGCCAGGGGGCAAGTGCCAATCGCATTCACACCGCAGTACTTTCCCTGAGGCAAGATTACGCTGACGTCACTTCGTCTTCTTCTTCTCTGGGTTTACTGGCAGGCCGCAAAACCACTTCACGGCGAGTACAAAAAAAAACGAGAGAAGAAGAACTACACGGGGGAGGGGGTATAAAGCCCACCCGCTGTATGAGGCGTTTGTTTACTTTCCGACCTCAGACATGATGGAGTTCATAAGGGTAATTTACAAATAAAATACCCCATTATAACAATGTACTTTATCTGTATGTATTTATTATATATTACCCCCTCAGGCTGATTTTGGAAAAGGACATTAACCCTTGTTTGGTGTTTTTCCCTTATTTATCTAAAACAAATGACATGATAAATTACTTGTGTTTATGTGTGTAAGACTTGTGTTTCTGCCCCTGCCATTGCTGCACAAGGTTGCAACATTGTAGATAAATTCAACCACCGACACCTGTCTGCTCTCACATTCTTCTATTCTGCAAATTTGGGGTGGGACACAATAAATAAAGCTTCGCCAGTTTGTTTGTTTTATTGCACAGTCAAGACATAACAATAACGGCATCACGCTGTTCCAGGTGTGTCGTATGCATGTAAATTGAAGTTAAATAAAAGTGTGAAATGTAAAATAAAGTGTAAGTAGTTTCAAAACAATGTAACAGTGGCAATATATATAGCAGCAGACACGCCTTAGTGCAAGTTAGGTGTCAGTATTAAAAAACAATATATATATATATATATTAACAATAGAAAATCGTTACCACTCTTATTATTGTGGTCTTTAATTTGTTTATAGTCCTGCCTGAGTTTCTTTAATTTTACCCGGCATCCGTGTGCACTGTGCACGATTCCCAGCTCAAGTAGCTTTTGCGAACATCGCTCAAAACATTTGGAGTTGGGAACTGCTTTCTGTAGAAGCTGCTGCATCCCGTCCTTGGAGTAAATTGCCAGAAGCGCCGACACTTCCTCATCATTCCACCGCTCCGGTGTTGTAGTACGTGTGGTCATAACTGCTTTAAAGTACAAAAATGACTCGCTCAGGTGTGGATGTGGTTTTGTAGCGAGGAAAAAAATGGCTGCCTGACAAAAAAAATTCAGAGTCTAACGGGGCGTGGTTTGCAATTCGCCCAGCCAATAGAAATAGAATAGAAATTGGCACTCTTTTATCACCAGGTTCGTACCACCTCTCTAGCAGGGACTGAAAATGGCCAAAAGAGTTCCCGGCACTGAGTAGTCCCGGCGGTGTGAACGCGACATTATTGGTACTAACGGAACTAAAGAACCAAAGTACCAGGGAAAGTCCTGCGGTGTGAATGCGGCTTATCTCAGATATCCAAAACATTTACAGTTCTTCATGACTGCTGCTATATTTAAAAAAACATTATCAGCCAGGACCTTCTTTTTTTTTTTTGCTAGCAAAGCTTTTTACCAGGCAGCTAGATATAAATAGCTCGGTGTCATTGAATATTAATTAAGTTTTTGTGCTGGTACTATTTAAAGTTTCCTCATAACCTACATTGTTAATTACCACTTATCCATCTGTGGCACTGAGCAAATTGTACCCTATAGCTCTTAGCAACACTTCCAATGGAGTAAGGGAGGGGTGATGCATGTCTCTCATTTTGCTATACCCTGTGTATGACTCCTGCTCACTATAACTGTATGAATGGCGGGGCATGGAGTGGGAACTGGTGTCTGCACATTGAAGCAGTCTGTTACATACTTAAATTATCCAGCAACACTGACATAAAAGAGCTTTTGCTAGTAGCATTTAATATGTTCCCCCTGCCTGGCTGCCTACTAACAACATGCAGACTCCACACTCCTTCCACCCCACTGACACCAGCGAGAGGAGGGAGCCGGAGAGTTTTAATTAACACTGTATATGAGATGAACGCCCCCCGAATGCCTAGCAAAGGCAAAGCTGCAGCACCATCCATTAACAATACCTCCCCTGCATTTTATGATGAATTCTGAGCGGTTCTAATGAGATTGCAGATAGTGCATGTTTGGTTCTTGATAGAGAAGACCTTCACACATGTGTATGTTCAGTTGTAGACAGCTTGAATCTTTACCCCCTGGTAAAACAAAACACATTTGTGCACCTCTTTTTTTGGGTTTGGCATGTAAAGCTGCTTCACAGCTGTGTGTCTATTCTGGTTTTTCTGTCTAAGTAGCTGAATTCATTACAGGTTCGTCATCCTGTGAAGCAAGGTCACTCCAAATGTTATTTAATTGTATTCAGGCCAAAACGGCAGACCTCTGTCTTTCTTTGAGTCATCTGCTGACTGAGGATGTTTGCAAAGGGTCTTAAAATAGAATGAACCTCTAGTATAACCCTGTGACCCCGCCTACTTCCTGTCTTCCTGTGTGCTGCATGTCTTGATACTGCTTTAAAACTGTATTAAGCTATACAAAAAAAGCATGATGGAACCTAAACAAACCGTGTGCAGTCAAGAACAATGATGCCCTCTTTAAATCTATGTTCTCTTTTAGGTCGTATTTACAGTATAGTTTACTTTTAGATACTTTGCTTACAGCCTATTCCACAAACACTATATCCGTAACCAAAAATCAACAACACAAGAAGAGAAGGGATGTTTCCAAATAATGTCAAAGTCTAACCCCACCTTTGGAAAAAAAACATGATTTGATTATGCGTACACTTCTATAAAGAGAAGGTTTAAACTCAAACATTAATCTTACTACATTGTATCATTCTTCACATAGGTCTATCTGTCCCTATATGTAAAGGTGTTTTTAGATTCTTGACTAACAATGCTGTGTTGACTGTCTCCAGATATGGTCGAGTAAACTACGTCCTAGCCAGACGCCTGGAGCTCCTCAGGGAGGTGGGGAGGTTACAGGAGAGCTTGGACGTCCCAGGAGATGTTTCTTACACCTGTGAAACAGCTGGACACTTCTACCTCTACCAGGTAAGAATATAACATGGTGTATGTTTCTGTAACAAGCTGAGACATAAACTGTAATAATGCCATACTTCCTTTTTACCCACTTAGCAATGTTTCATATCATGTAAAATATTCCATCAGGCTCAAATAAAATCGGTAATTGAGGTTTAGCAGAACAAACCTTACAAATTAGATAATAATATTGATTTTTAAAAGAAAGTTCAGGGGATCCAGGAGATTTTGCTGAATGAATTACAATGGATTTGTGCCTCTCTCTTGTTCCTTGGACATGTCCATGCCAATCAGACCGAGACATTCTTAAAATATTCATTCCCCAGACTTGCTGCTTATTTTGCCTAGGCTACAATTATCCTGAAACGGTCTCAGCCCTCGCTGCTTAATCCTGTCACCTAATTATCACTGTCCGCTCAGGCTGCAGTAGAAATGCCACGGCAGACAATTACTAAGGTGCACGCACCCCCGTTCGCCTTTAGAAGGGATCTAAAAAAAGACATTATAGACAGTTTCAACATGAAGCAGCTCCTGCCTAGCTCTCATTTTCAGGTGTTACCAGGCTCAAGTTAAAATCCAACCTTACATTGTTTGTAAACGTACTTGCTTCACGGCAGTCATATTAGACCTATACTGTAAAAGCAGTGTAAATCTCCCAGTCACATAGTTTGGAGTGGTGGTAATAACTCGGTATACCCAAGCTCCAGTATCAGGGTTTATTTCTGATCATGTTCATGCTGCCATTTTTGCACTTTGCCAGGAATCTGTCAGTTGCCTCTCTCACACACACACACACACACACACACACACACACACACACACACACACACACACACACACACACACACACACACACACACACACACACACACACACACACACACACACACACACACACACACATCACTGTGGGTCCTCATTAATTTGATATCGCATAGAGACTGGACTCTCAAGTTTCTATGTTTATTTTAGCTCTGACGACTGGCCAACAATCTAGTTCTTTGACATTTGAAGATGTAAATGTCAAGAAGTCGTTGGAGTAGCAAATCTGTGATAATGAGCAGTCTTCTCTGTCAGTAATCAATGATCAGAATACACACATGTAGACATACTCAGGTTGCGATGGAGATCCTAATGGTCCATATAGACGTATATTTTGACATGTAATTAAGCTGGTCCTCTAGCAGACTCGTTAGTGTTATCCATAATGTTGTTTTTCATAGTGGTATTTATAGAACTAGGCTACCCCGCTGTTTGGTTATTAGTTGCTCAGCAGGGGCTCCTCTGTACAAGTGAGGCTATCTGTTCTCATTTGTGTATTATTTTTGCTATGGTCAAATAATGAAAGGGAAAATACAGACTGAGCCATACAGAACACTCACTGTGTGCACAGACAACATTAAGGCAGACATCAGACAATCATCGACTCATGCATACAAAAAGTTTGATTCTATTGGAAAGCCATGTTTGTCTTAGTGTCAACATACAAAACATATATATAGAAACCAAACCAAAAACAGTGTCTTGGCATTTCTAGCAATCAGTATTCACATACTATAACACTGGGCTTTGTCTCTCAACATTCAGAGGGTAATGTATGTGTGCTTTGTCTACCCATAACAGGTGATATCTCGCTGGGAAGAGTACATGAGCAAAGTCAGGCCAAAGCAGAGCAAGGAGGTGGAGGTGCAAGCTGTGGCGGCACACTTTCCCTTCCACCAGTACTTCTCCAACGCCCCTCAGCCTGTGTTCAAGGGACGCTCATACGAAGAGGACATGGACATCTCAGAGGGCTGCTACCGCCACATCAAGAAAATATTCACCCAGCTGGAGGTAAGAACACGGTAAACTAGTCCGCTCGCTGCTGAGCAACACCCAGTGGGATGTAAGGAGGTTACTTCAGTGTAATACGGCAATTTGATTTCTAGAGCGCATGTACCGTTTAATTCAATGCACTACAGCAACAAATAACATGCACAGAAGCACACATTAACTAAAGGTTAACGTATATTTTACGCAAACACACACACACACACAGGCACACACACACACACAGACACAGGCTACATTGGCTGATGATACTCGGACTATTTGCCATCTGTGTGTCCAGGTGTTGCACAATCTCCCATCTACAAATAAAAAGGCCTTCCTGTCCACCACAGTGACATGTTGCTGAAGGTTAGAAGTGGTTAGCCATCACATGTCCCATTTGCTTCGTTCAAAGTTTGAATAATTATATAAGATGCCAATCAATCAATCAATGTTTATTTATATAGCCCAATATCACAAATGTTACATTTGTCTCAGTGGACTTCACAGTTTGTACAGAATATCAGTATGACAATACGACACCCTCTGTCCTTAGACCCTCACATCGTACAAGGAAAAACTTCCGGAGAAAACCCACAGTTTAAAGGGAAAAATGGGAGAAACCTCAGGGAGAGCAACAGAGGAGGGATCCCTCTCCCAGGACGGACAGACGTGCAATAGATGCCGTGTGTAAATTGAAAAGATAATACATTTGCAACATAGGTAGACCAAATGTTTGGAAATGCATGTGTGTATAATAGGAAGATGAATCCACGAGGACCTATGATCCAGGACCACAGCCACGACTCAAGATCCAGGACAGAGGAGCACAGGATCATCCATGACTCCGGATCCCGGCGTATACAGACACCAAAAAGAAAGACATTTGGGGAAGCTGGGTTAATCGGAACATGAGAGTACACAGGTATAGACAGAGAGAAGGAAGAAGTAAGATGTCCCCCGACAAACTAAGCCTATATCAGCAAAACTAGGGGCTGAATCTAATCAGCCCTAACTATAAGCGTTATCCCTTATAATGCCAAGCATTACTTGTACTGTTTAATTGTCGATACGATTGCTGACCCCTTTTAAAAAGATAAGCGTAACAACAAAGTGAGGAAGGCAATTACTGCTTATCTTTTTTTACTCTCCCTGTCACTCTTTTTCGCACTCGTTGGCACTTACAAACACACGGCTGAATGTGTTATTCTCCCTTCTCAACCCATCCGGTGTTTTCTATAGGGATAACAATAACATTTCAGATTTATGGGAACACCAAGAAGATCTCTGAAAAGCAATAAAGAAGTTATTGGCTGGAGGTAATATCCCAACACGTGTGGCGACCTTGATTTATGTGGCTGGCCTCTGTATCACTGCATCACAGCACCTCTCCCTCCTCCCGCTGCCTCACCCTTGCTGCAGTGAAACCTGTACACCCATTAAGAGGAACTGCTGTCTGTGGCGCAGGGTAGACAAGGCAACATTCTGCTGAATATGCTTGTCTTGTCTGACTTTTCAAATGTAAAAGCAGTTTTGAATAAGCTGTCTTACGAATATCCAAAGAATGTATTGCTAGCCAGATAGACAGCAAAGCATTGTGCCTGCTGGGTTCCTCCTGTATACACGTCTCAAGTTTCCTGCAGACCCACCACACCTTTACCGCTATTTACTCGTTTTTCTCTCTGCCCCCGCTTCTCAGTTTCAGTGAAACCTTCCCATCTTGATTTCACCCTTCAACCACTCTGGAGCCATGGGTGTTAAAAATAGATCTCATCAATATTGCATGTTTTGATCGGTTTAATATTAATGCTAAAATAGTAACACATCAAATATTTATACCCCAGTGCTGTCCGAGTCGACTTCTTCCTTTCCTCTCTGCCTTCCATACCCCTACACAACTAGTGTGGCAAACGGGAAATAGCACGCATGTTTATTGTTTACCCGTATTTTCCCCCTCTGTCCTTCCCTCACAGCGTGGCTTTCAAAGTGCCGTGATATTGGACCTCTGAAGAGAAGGGATTTCTTGTTTTTCAAACTGGCCCTACATTTTTCATTCCAGTATAAGCTATGTAAGACAATCTGTGCTAAAGTGCTCCTCACGTTGCAGTTATTGAGCAGCTAACTACACCCGGTATACTCTCCCCAGAGCAGCCCTGTGGCTTGCTGACCTCTGTTCACCTGCACCTGGGGAAAAGAGACTGTTTCTAATGAGAAAAGAAAGCATGGGGATTTTGTTAACTGTATATTTGATAAAAAGGCTAGTAACTTGCCGATCATTTCATCATCTTTTATGATTCTCTTGTATATTGGAATAAAGGGTATCAAAAGTAAAGGTGATTTGAGCTATTAGAGGTGCTAAGGTTACGTCACTTGCATTTAAAACACTTACATTTTTTTTAAATGTAGGTAGACGCAACACTGTCGGTGTTGTATCTGATTATTGAACTCTGTTTTAGAGGTGGGATTACTTCACCCGAGATAATCACCTTATCCATCATCTTTGACAGTATTCATCCATCAATTTGTCAGAAGGCCATTTAGGTTTCCCCTCACAACCCCACTATAAAAACATGAAAGCAAAACTTCACCATCATTCACAGATGGATGAACACACATGTAATAAAAGTTATTCCTAGAGGTCAGAAAAGTTGCTGCTTTTCTTTCTTTATTTTCTTATTCCCAAACATTTCTGTATGCGGTAATTGACTCTTCACCTCCTCTCTTGTCTATCCTGTAGGAGTTCAGGGCCTTTGAGCTTCTAAGAAGTGGACTGGACCGCTCCAAGTATCTGCTCGTGAAGGAAGCCAAAATCATTGCGATGACCTGTACCCATGCTGCACTCAAACGTCATGACCTGGTGGAGCTGGGATTTAAGGTATGCTCTTATCAACTAACAACTAGAATACAACCTGGTTAGGATTGCATTTACTGCAGTGACAGTACGTGAGGTTGGTTTAAGTCTTGGTTAAATTGCTGATTATCTTTTTTTAGTATGACAATATCCTGATGGAAGAAGCTGCTCAGATTCTGGAGATCGAAACCTTCATCCCCCTCCTGTTACAGGTAAATGTCCTGATGCCGTCTTAAAAGTTAAATGTATGATGTAAAAGCTGTTAATCCTGTCTTTTAGAAAAACTGCAGTCAGAAAAATCACTTCCTAAGCACTGTCAAAAGTTCTGACATCTAGCCTAGTTTAATCCTTAACTCAGGACTGCTTTCTACCACTTGACTTTCCCTGTTAAGGTCTGACTAATTGCCTACGAGCACAGTAATGGTTGCTTGTCTTTGGTAGTTGTGCCTAATTGCCCGAGATAGTGCTAATGTCTGTTTACAGATGAGATCATTAAGCACATCAGCCAATCCAATAACCTCGCCAGAGCTCCTCACTTTATCTCTCTACTCTAGTGAGTCACAGCCCGAGCCTTCTGCCAGATATACGTCACAGCAAAACTGTTTATTCCTCGTCCTCCCTTCCCCTTTCATTATCCAGCCATTCAACCCTTATCAGGGATTTCAGCGATTGAATCAAGTCTTGACATGCAGTGGTTGATATATCATATTTGTCCGAGGTCAAGCTCCAAATAAACGACGTCTAATTGGCAAAATCTGGAAGCATGACGTAGACGGGAGTAAAAAACTGTACAGGCCCTTCATGCTTCATTGAGGCAAATCTTGTTGTCGGATAGCAGGTGCACTTTATAATTTTGTCAAGTCATTACAAACCAGAATTTAAAGAATCTCTGGCCAAAAAAGATACTGACTGGTCTCATTCATGTTCTGTCTTCCCCTCATCAGAACCCAGAGGATGGCTACAGCAGGCTGAAGCGCTGGATCATGATTGGAGACCACCATCAGCTGCCCCCTGTTATCAAGAACATGGCCTTCCAGAAGTACTCCAACATGGAGCAGTCTCTCTTCACCCGGTTTGTGCGCCTGGGAGTGCCCACCATAGATCTGGATGCACAGGGCCGAGCTCGAGCAAGGTGGGTCTCCATGGCGGGACATAAAGCTGGAGGAAGTTTGACCAACTAGATCTCATAGGGGGTCATGGCAGAAGGGAAGTAACAACAGCATGACTTAATGTTGTCCTATGTGTCCTACAGCCTATGTAACCTGTACAACTGGCGCTACAAACAGCTGGGGAACCTGCCTCATGTCCAGCAGCTGCCTGAGTTCCAGGTGCCAAACCCCGGCCTCACCTTCAACTTCCAGCTTGTTAACGTGGAGGACTTCAATGGGGTGGGAGAATCCGAGCCCAACCCTTACTTCTACCAGGTCAGTAGTAGTGCACAACAAGTACACAAATAAAACACCCGCCACAACTGTGACGGTGAATGCCATCTCTACTCGACTAGACTTGCAACACATTCACTACTGTTTATTGTGTATGGGAAGCAACTGATTTGCTGCACAAAGCATGCTGGGATACCTACAGTGCAAAGCAAGCTGGGGTGGCGACAAGAAGGCGTGTCAATTTGAGCTGTGTGTACAACCAAGAGAAAGTGGGACTAATGATAATCCATCCTTGTAAAACTAAATGTTTTCCCAAAAACAATATCTAAAAAAGCTGTAATTTGATGCGAGTATACATGTTTCATTTTCAAATAACTTGCTGCTCCAGTATTTAGTATATTGGTTGCACAGGTATACACTATGTTAAAACAGCGGAAATAGTTGTGTGGCAGTTTCCAAGCACGATTTGATACACTCCTTTACAAGGTTCTACACTCATGCACACTTAGTTCCACCAGAGCAGAGAACCACATCCTGCCCTTACCTCCATTTCCTCTGAACCGCTTGTTGTACAGCAGTTCATTCATTTAAAAACTTTAATGGTTTAGCTGCCGGTTCATATTATATATTCATAACCCTGCTTAGTCTGCAGCTAGCCCTGCCTGCCCAGCACAGAGCAGTGGGTTTGTCTTTCACACCAGGAGCCGGATTGTGTTTCATTATGACATTGCTGTGTGGGCGGAAGGCAGGCTTGATAGGGGTTTGTAAAAAACAAAAATAGTTTACTGGCACAGGAGATCAAATGTAACAGCAAAGGTATCTCGTGAAAGTGCTGAGGTATAACACATAACGAGTTACTTTATTTAGTTTATTTCACGTTACTGGATTATTAGGAATTCTGAAATCTTCCTTTTGGATACAGGAAACTAAGAGCAGCAAATTTGTTAGAGAAACGAGATAAGTGGGGCACAGATTTGTTTAAAGCTTCATGGCCAGTGAGGATCTCTCAGTGCTGCTTCATGAATATTACTGCTGTGTTCAACACGGTGCTTGCTCATGTCTCTGAAGCTTCCTATTGTTCTTAAATCCAGACCATGTGCACTTCTCGAGGCATCAGGTCACATGAACCTCAACTCTATTTGCCTGTTGCCTTTTTAAGGCCCCTTAAGGGAATTGGCAGTATCACTCACTGTACCTTACACACACACACACACACACACACGCACGCGGGCGCGCATGCACTTTCCTAGGAACCAGAAGGGATAAATTGGACTCTAGAGAAGCAATTGTATCCAGTGTATGCTGAATGCCTGCCACAGCTGAACAAACACTGCCACGAGCCTGCTTTGCACTTCCACAGGAACTGCACATCCATCATACACACACACACATGTGCGTGCACTCAGACAGTCCAAAGGTCTGTTCCTGTTCCTTCGCCTCATTTGTCAGAGCACTCTCCATATTGAGCCTCAGCCCGTTAATAGTGCTTCCCAAGTCGTCAAATGGCTCATAAAGGGTAAGATGCTTATCTAAATCCACATCTTCTGTTGTCAGAAAATGGCTTTTCTCAGCCACTAGGCGGTTAGTCTTTTCTACTCCACACGCTACATTTTAAATTACATAAGAGCAAAGAGCATTGTTTGCTCACAGGTAGATTTATCGTCTTACTACCTAATGTGTTTGTACCGACACCACACTTTGCGATCCTCTCGTCCCTTCTGTTTCTGTCCCTGTTTCATCCTCTCCGGTCCTCATGTAGCCTCGGGACATTGGTTTAAACTCCGCTGGGTTTGGTTGGCATGACCTTGTTGTTATGGTTAACGAGTTCTCTGGAGTGTTAGGGCATTAGATCACATTTATGTTAAATATGCACATATGGTAGGCAAAGCTGCAAATGCCCACCATGTGCCTACATAGATACTACTCCTCTCCTGTGTCTCTGAGACTATGTTTAATGGATTAAGATGTAGAACTCAATTTGGCATTCGAGCCACAATCTACCTAAATACCTAATTCAATGTTTTTGTTTACTTTCTTGTTATGTTATACTCGAATAATTAAAAAGTAAGGTATGGCCTGAATGAATACATTAGAAGTAAAACTATGGTTTGGTCATTAAAGTGTCGAGTTTGTGCCATTTGGAGACATGTAATATGGGAAGAAGAACAGAGGCTGTCACTGTTTTTGATGTTTTGACTCCAGTGCAGCTGGATCAGGAACGGTTTATGGAGCTGCATGAATTATTATCAAAGATGTGAGGCTGCAGACCAGGTCTAATTGAGACAGGATGAATAATGCATACTGTTGGCTGTTTTCTTTTCCTTTTTTGGTCACATTTGAAGGGCAGAGTGTAGCCTTGAAGCCAGGATGCACATGCCTAGGAATTAGTTGATTATAAGAGGGCTGAATGATGCATGCAACACTGGCCTTTACATTAAGTCACATTAGAGGACAAGGTCTTGTGTTGTTGTCCTGGGGCCTGGACATTTGGTGTCATGTTAAGAACAATGTGTTTTTATTACTATATATATATATATATATATATATATATATATATATATATATATATATATGCTCCTGTTAGAATCTCTTTGTATGGAATCTGAAAGCAACTAGCCCCAGTTTTTGGAAATATTTTCTTTCCTAGTTAAAATGTAGTTGATTTGACATTGGTATTATTTTACGATAACACCCTGCCATTGATTGACGAATGAAACTTTTGGTCATGCAGCCTCTTGTTGCACTTCTAAAAAATAGCAATCAGCTGTTCCTCTTTTTTATAGATATCAAAGCCACAGTAGAAATATGCCATTTGACGTCCTCGCTGCAGTGTAGGGGATCCTTAAATTGGGACATTTTGTCCCAGCCTGGTTTATGGTGGTGTGGAGCACCGTCTGATGCAATTAATTCCAGCCCAAATCAGATAGTTACTCTTGCATGCAATCATACCCTCTCCTTTTTCTCTATCCTCCTGTGTAGAACCTAGCGGAAGCGGAGTACAGCGTGGCTTTGTTCATGTACATGCGTCTGCTGGGCTACCCTGCTGACCGCATCAGCATCCTCACCACCTACAACGGGCAGAAACACCTGATCAGAGACGTCATCAACCAGCGCTGCGCCGGCAACCCCTTCTTCAGTCAGCCTAACAAGGTAAAGACCGACACACAGTGCACACAACGGCTGTATAATAATTATTATTATAAAGCAGATAGTAGTAGAAATATGTCCTTATGAAATGTTAATTACATTGATACGAGTTTGAGAGGTGAAATTTGCGAGTCCAACATCTTGTTGTATAACAGATTTCTTATGCTACTTTATTAAAGAATATTCAATAATGGGCTGAAACCTAAAGCAAAATGGTCTGTTGTTAATGTAATATAAAACAAATGTCTCATTATTATTTTCTTTGTAGCAATATTATCGCACTTTAGAAGCAGAATCAAGCCCTGTTTTGTTTAATCTCCTTACTGTACTTTCTTGACTGTTCTCTTACACAGGCTTTAATACAATTCAACATATATACCTAGACCTCTGATTCACCAAGCACATCTCACATTTGTCAGTTATTCAAGTAGAATAAAAAAAAAAGGTGGAAATTCTGTCTAAATCAATCAAGCTACTTGGGAAATATTGACATTTACACATTTCATGTAGCCTTCTAACAGTGAAACACATGCGATAATACCACACACATGAACTGTACACACTCCTGATATCACTTGAGGCTGACACATTTTTCCCTCCTGTCAAGAAGAAATCCACAGTCCCAAAAGACACGTTTTCACCTCATGTATAGTATGTGTAGGACTGAGGCTAGTTTACTAGGAACATGCGTGACACACAGGCACACACTGTTTTCACACCTTCAGATGTCAGCTGATATCAATGCAAAAAGCCTTCTTTCCTCTGTTTCTCTGAGAGAGAACTTCACAGCTCTCAATTCTCACAAGGCTTTAGCTGTTGCACCTCCCTGTGCTTTCAGTGCGACATACACTACCTCCTTAAGTGGATCTGCGTGATACTTGCAGGGAAATTCATTAAACAACTCATAGAGGTTCATTGGTTCTCTTTTCCCGGTTGTTGGCAAAGCAAAAAGAGTCCGTTTTTAGTTTTACTGTGGCCTTCATTGTCCCGCTCAATCAAATCATGAGACCATCAAGACTGCTGCAGGTCATGAGACTCAAGAGGAGCACTTTGTGTGCACTCTGTCCCCAACAGTTTACATACCAGCTGACTGCATACCTCTGTAAATCAAACTCACTGAGGTGCGTGTGTGTGTGAGGAGATGTGAATACTTTGCGAGTGGGTGTATGCTTCATGCTATGTTCATCCCTGAAAAATACTGTTATATTGTCTCCAGCCCACGGTGTTTCCCCCCTACTCCTCTTATTCTACCTTCTCCATTTCCTTCCTTTGTAGTGTGTTAAGTCAGCAGCCCGCTGGCACCATCTCCCATCCGTTTTCTGTTTGTACTGCTAAATGCTTTTCCCCGCTAGCCTTAGGATATGTTTTCCTTTTTCTTTATTCTTTTGCCCACATTCTCTCACCTTTCTTTGGTGTCTGTTTTTCGAGCCTTTCACACACTTAAAAATGCCAAAAGCTATTTAGGCATGCCAGAGAAAGTTGTGAGATCGGAGTGCAAACGCAGTGTCAGTTGGGGTGTAAGGGCAGTGCTTCTCAAACTTTTTTCAGTAATGTACCCCCTTTGAAACATTTTCTCTGCCAAGTACCCCCTGACCGACCCCGAACATTTTTGATAGAAAAAGCCTATATATATATAATTACAATATAGTAATGTTCCATCAGTGTGTGATGTATTAACTCCTTCATGCATGAATTACAACAAACTAAGGATATTTTCATCTTTATATATGAGACATTTTTTAAAAACTGATTTTTAAGTAATACCAATTTAGCAAACCAATGAACAAAATTATATATTTTGCAAAAACTATAAAATACAATACACACATATTATAAAAAAATCCACTGTGGTGCCTGATGTGCAACTATGCCATCCGAAACGCCATGCATATACAAGAAAACAGCATTAAATTAGCAGTCTCTAATGTAGTGACCACAATGCATGAAAGAGTTTTTTTTTTTAAATTGCAATTATAAACAAACCATGTAATAACACTGCAATTACACTATTTAGGAGTTTTAGGTCCGATGCCTCCAGTGCTTTGGCGGATGTTGTGGAGGCTTTTCGCATCATCTCTTGCGAGGATCTGTACTCAGCAAGTTTTCTCTTGAAACATTCCGGTGGCTTACCAACATGACACAGGTGTTTGGTGCTGAGATGTCTCTGGAGGTGCGCTGGTTTCACCGAGCTGTTGGCCATTTTCTCCCCACAGAAATAACACAATGCCCGGGGCGCGTTGCCGTTTGTTGACATGAATCCCATCAAGCGTACGCCTCCTGATATTGACGGCATTTTGTTGGCTCAATTTTGGCTCTCTTTTTTTCTCCGTTGTCCACGTTCCCTGCTGTAGTGCTGCTACGTTTAAACCACGATTCCGTTTCAATGTCTATTCGTTATAATATAATATTGCAAATGGCTTTCCGCTCAGCGTCTATTTAATTTATTGTACTATGATTATTTTTGTAATCATGCATGGTATTTTTTTAATTAACCTTTTTTTTTTTATCTCACGTACCCCCTGCAGTACCCCAACGTACCCCCTGGGCTCCGCGTACCCCCATTTGAGAAACACTGTGTTAGGGCACCATAGTGGCAGCGGATCAACAATTATGTTGCTCAAATATTTTGCATATGTGTTCTGCTGTTTGTCGCACGGTGAGTGGTATGTAACGTTTAGCCTTGGCGGCATCAGCAAGACATGTAGCCAGGGAGTCATTAAGCAGAGGAATAAGCTATTTCTGACTTTAATAGAAGAACTATTTATGTTTGTTTTCCTGGGATTTGCTGACAATAAGAAACATAATCAGCCTTATCCTTTCACATATGAAGGCAGAAACACAAACTGCAGATTGGTCAGTAATTTTCTAACAAGCAGACAGGAAGTGGATCCCTCTTATGTCTTTGTGTGCGTGGTGCTTTGTACCACCTGCAGGGCCGGAGCCTTTTGTTCTGCTGTGCTACACATCCTTGTTGCTTTGTCTTCAAGTATATTCACTGTTCTGACAGCTAGCCATAGATTGTGCTTAGTCATGTTAAAAGTCCTGCAATGTTTAGAAATAAACTGTCATGCATTGTGCTCATGGCCTTAGTCAGTATGCCATCCTTGTGATAAAGTGACAGGAGCGACAGGCTGTCAGATTTGCTGAAAAGAAAGATAGCCAGACAGGGAGGGAGATAAAAGAGAAAGAGGGGCTCTTGTGGGAAAATGCTGAGCAGCAGAAAGGTCATGGCGCAGAGCGCTGGGTCCACAGTGTGTCTGAGAATGTGTCACAATAGCTAAAACCAAGCAAATGTCAACAGCCATCCCACTTTACTGCGATGACTGAAATGAGTTTGGAAAGAGGAGAAGGGACAGTTAGCACCAGTCACTGACTCAACAACTAACACACCGGCCAAAGCTGTCTGCTGTATCAAAACACAACAGTTTGCATACATATCTCATTTTGTATGTGTTCAGAGTGACAAGGTACATTTGAGTTCACTTTCTGTTGCTGTATATTTTAAACACCAGGATACTGTGGATTCATTGACGTCACACTTAAAACTTCATGACACGAAAGTCATTGCATCTTTTCTTACCACACAAATCTCAGCCCAATCCTACCAAAGCCGCCAAGCCCTTTTTGAGCAATTGTGATCAAGTAAACCTTTGTTTAGCTTGATAGAAAGTGCACAGTCGTGGAGAGAGGAATTAGAAGGGAGGAGTGGTCATGTTGAATCCTTAGTGTCACCTTGTGCCCCCCTCCCTTCATTAATATGCATGGCTGCTAACACAAACACTTTCTCCATCCCTCCTGTGGGATCCCTTCATTTCTTGAGAGCTGAAGCCTCTTCAAAAATAGGAAAGAAAATCTGGCTGTGTGACCAGAACCAGGATATATTAATCAGATGTGTTAACCAAGATAAAAAACCTCTTCCTAACATGTCCCATCACGCCTTTTGAAACGGAAATTAAATCCTGAGCCTCGGAAATGGGAAACGCGACCTTACACTTCTAAGAAAGAGTGAAAAATGTGATAATCTGGCAGCCTGACTTCTGCACATTCCAGGGCGTAATTGCCATGAATTAGACGGCAGGATGGACCGAGTGAGTAAAGAGAGAGGAGAGATTCATGCTTGACCATTAGCATCATCACGGTGAGAAATGGAAGAGCATTTATTCAAATAGCTTCTACTAGCAATAAACTGTGTGTATGTGTGCGCACACATATGCATCTCAGAGTGTGTTATGTGTGTTGGTGTGCTTCCTCGTGTCCTCAGATATGCGTGTGCCACAATGGCATGACCTCGGTAATTCACTCCCTGGAAGATTTCTCATAAATAACTAAACTCCATGCAAAATGCTGCGCCTTGGGGAGATTCTCTATCTGGGCTTCTTTGTCTGTGGGCTCAGAATAACTCCCTTTCTTGAGCGCCCCTACTTCAGTATTGAGTTGCCATGTTTTGATTAAAGCGATGTCTTTATATCCCCTTTAAGTCCACAGTTATATCAACACATGGTGTACTGGAGCGCGGTCTCTACATGTCACATGTGTGCGTGCATGCATGCATACCGCGGCTGTTTGACTTGAACATTAAACAGTTGACTCTAACATACAGCCCATGACGCCTCGTGCTAGTGTAAAACCGACATATTGTTGCCTCTGGTGCTGCATCTGTTCTACATAGCAACAGGGAGACATGTTGGTCTGCTGCATGATTATCTCTTCCTCTTTTACACGTTCACACACACTTTCCCCACACTCCCTTCCCGTCACCCAAACAGGGTTTAGTAAAGGATCACTAAAAGTTGCAATAGCTCATATGAGGTAACTGGGACCACATGATGATGTATTCAGCATGGCTGGTTCTTATGTTGGTAGTCCTAGGCCTGGGCGGCTTCTCAATGGTAGCTGGTGCTCCATTGATCCTCTCTACAGGATGCATCTATAGAGGGAAGGCCGAGGTCTTTCTGATGGGCTTTGGATACCACACTAATGCCCCTTTCACACCAGCGCTTTTTCAGCTCCGGCTCGGAGCTGGAGCCTGAAAAGCGCCGGTTTTTCCTGTTCACACCGCAGCGGCGCCGGCTCTTAGCTCCGGAATCCGGTTCACTTCCAGCTCCAAAAAATTGTCGGTCTAGAGGCAAGAGCTTCGGAGCTAAGAGGTGGCGTCGCTTACGTCTCTCTTACGTCGAGGCGTGCAGGAAACTAAACCCTCCTCCCCTGAACATGGGTCGACTGTCATGCCGGCCTACAAGCAGTAGTGCTTATAAACACACTTTATAAAGTCAGGCAACACTAACCAGGCTTCGTGTGATTCTGTTTATTTGTACCTTACTTTGACCATCCGTTCACTGTTATTGATCATTGTGGAGAGAGGCAGACGTGTTGTTTTGTATTATAGCAGCTATCGGATGGAATCAATACATGGGCTGCACAGGTTGTCGTGTCCGACTATCACAAGTAGAATCATAATAAAAATACGCCCGTAAAATGTGCCTGTAGAAAACGGTTTATGCCACAATAGGATAGCAATAGCAAGTAGTCAGTTTAGCTTCGGTTGCTATGCTAACATCACCCATTTTATACCAGAGAAACTTTCATAACAGTGTTGTGATACCAAACAGCGTCAATTCAGACTGACACACATTCACTTAGGCTAAGGGGAACTGGGGATATGTATCAGCTGCTTGTGTGAGTCGGACAGTGAATACTTTAGAGCGGCCGCTGCAGTGTGAGCTAACCGGGAGCTAACGGAGGAGAATAAACTCCCGTAGAAGAGCAGCCAGCACTGCAGCGGTCGGTAAATGCTGCAGAAACACATTAATAAACAATGAACCACGGCACTCTGGAGCAAAGTATAAGGTTGGAGAAGTCGTTATTCAATTTATTCTGGCTTCGTGTGATTAAAAGCAACACGATCATCGACCCGACGCAGTTCCCCGTTGTTGTGAGCGCCGTAACGCCGTTGGGGAGCAAATCAGCGATGTAAACGGTGACGTCATGACGCAGCAGCTGCAGCACCAGTCGGGTGCTGGGCGGTGTGAACAGAGCGGGAGCAGAAAAGGGAAACCGGAGCTGAACCAGAAAAGCTCTAGCTCGGAGCTAGAAAGGGAAAAGCACTGGTGTGAAAGCCGCATATGTGGCCTTTACAACAGCATAGCATCCTTTTTATGTACACATGTTAATAAGGAGGACATGCTTTGTTTGTGTCACCATTATTTACTTCCAGTCTGACTTTATGAAGGTTTCAGGATAACATTATTGCTTCTTACTTGGTTGCCTTTACCAAGTGTGATGAGATGCTGATTTCGAAAGTGTTTTCTCCATTTTGTATTTCAATTAGATTTATTATTGAGGCAATACTCTTAGTGGGACTAAACATCGATCCTATCGGTTTGTTATGACCAGCCGTACTTAAAAATGAAAAACACTTTATTGTGCACAGATCTTGTAGGCTGAAGGAGCAGTTGTACATACAGTACAGCTACTGCTAGTATTGTAATGTATTCCGTTTTACAGGGTCCTAGCTTCTTATAAATATGTTTTTGGATTATGTAAGGTGTATAGGCACTTGCTAAGTAAAAACACAGCTCTGTTCTTCATGTACGGGATAAGAACGCTCCTCAGCAAGACAGGATAACCTGGGTATGAAAGCAAATTGGTTGACATGAGTTTCCTTTTGATTTGAAAAAGAAAACTCCAACAGTGATTTCCTTTCTCTTCCTCCCTGCGATAATCTCTCACCCGTCAGGCAGCATGGTCACAAGTACCTTGGCCCTGAGTCTCAGGGGCCCAGGTAAGAGGCTAGTGGTGGCAAATGCCCTCTAAGCCGCATTAGCCCCGCTAGCTGCCCATGTGGCCTGCGGAGATAACAGCAATAACAAGCAAACACAGGCACTGCCACCAGCATTCATTCAGCCCCCCAAAAAATAAACAAATAAGAAAAAGGGCAACATTTCAGAAGGAAAGCAATCTCCCTCGTGTTTCCAAAACATTTCAGCTAAATCCTTCCACCTACCTCAAATGCATACACTCATTTTCTCTGCCACTATCTTTAATATGTATGTGTGTATGTTAGGGGTGTAACGGTTCACAGAAGTCACGGTTCGGTTCATACCTCGGTTTGGGGGTCACGGTTCGGTACGGGTTCGGTACAACAAGGAAAAGCAAAAAAAAAGTTCCAAATGCATATTGTTTTTGCTGTTATTTATTTTTAACAGTAGTGCAAATTTTGGTAAGAAAATAAGGAACTCTAACATTTGGAATCATTAACTGTATTACAGTTAAAAACAAACCACAAACAGTAACACACACACTCAGATGGCCATATTATTTATTGGCTGATGTCAAACTAAAAGGTTAAATAAGCTGTACAACTAAAAAGAATGTCTTGAAAATATTAAAATAAATAATAATAAAGTGTTTCAATAAAAGGCAATACAGAACTGTATAACATCTCCTGATGTCAAAATATAAAATAAATACAATGATAAATATAAAACAAAATAAAATCTGTACCTTAAGGAGCAATGTCTAACATGTGTAATTAACTTGTGAGTGTGTGAGGCCATTATGCCTAAATAAAGGTACTCAAGCTTTACTCTATTTTCAAGTTGTTCTTCAAAAAGATGAGTTTGTCTACGTTGTCAGTAGTGAGGGCAGATCTGTTGGCGGTAACTATGTCACCTGCCGTCGAGAAAACCCTCTCGCTGGGGACTGAGACTGACTCGGATGTGATTGAGCATGTTTGACGTGTTACCACTAGCATACCGCACCGCTGTCGAACAACGCCGACACACCGTCCTTGTCCGATCCACAACTCGCACCCCATCATTGTTGTAGTCCACAGGGAACCCGAAATGTTCCCACACAGCTGATTTAAAAGAAGCAGGTGGGTCTTCTAGCTCCTGTCTGTTGTGTGAACTCGCCATAGCTACTAACTTTTCTTCTTCATGTATTGTGTTCGTTTTGTTCTTGTTCTTCATTTGTTATTTACGGGCGGCTGGCTTTTAGGCGCAATACCGCCCCCTGGATTATATATAGTGTAATACTGCCCTGAGTGACAGACTTTTTTCCCACTCGTAAAAAAAGGTGTATTCGCCGTGTGACTGCATGTGCCGAACCGTGACGTCCAAACCGTGACGTCCGAACCGTGACGTCCGAACCGTGACGGTACGCGGCGAATACGGATACCGTTACACCCCTAGTGTATGTTTAATCATGAATATGTTTGTGTGTCTGTGCAGGTGACAACAGTGGACAGGTTCCAGGGTCAGCAGAATGACTACATCATCCTCTCCCTGGTCCGCACCAAAGCCGTGGGACATCTCAGGTAAATACTTTAAGTGCCAGGCAGAAAACCTTCAGTAGACACCTTCAGCTGCTTTTCTACTACATCAAAATACATGTTTAATATGATCTGCACCTTAGATACACACCCTCCAGGGAAACAACACAGCAAGACGTCGGCTCTAAACTCTCCTGAGACTGCTGCTCTCGGGAGGCGTTGTGCTTCTGTCATGCTCAAATTTGAGGCAGGGAGGATAAAGAGGGGCTTCGGGACAGGCGCATGTCTCTGCAGCTGAATGTATTTGTCATGTTTAAGAGAAGCTATTGTGCTATGCTGATTGGGGTGAGAGTATCAAACAAAGGGCTCTGCTCGGATCAAAGGCATACCATATAATAGTCATTAAGAGGCAGGAGTGTTAACCAAACAGCAGCGGTAGGTTTTATGTCTTTTTGTTTCATGTCCCATTGCTATCTGCTCAGCTATCCCCCCTCACTGGCCTCCCTTCAGCTCCAGCTCCTTATCTCTCTGCTTCCTCTTCTCTTCACTACCGCCTCATTTCACTGAATCGGTTCGTAGTGAAATGGCTTTTCGCTCCTCGGCTGCCATGACACACTGATGAGCTCTTCGTGACTAATACGCTCCATGTTTTAATACCAGACTATTGAGGCTCAACTCGGTGCTCCAGCTTGCCACGCTGGCCTCTGGCTGTGATGTACAGAAGCTGCTGTTGGAATTGCACCGCTCACAGCTTCATCCCAGCTGCACTGCCACTGCTCTCACCCACCCTTACACTGGACACTCTGTAAAATGGAACCCCAGCACGAATACAAAGCCTTTTCTTTGGTAGCTAAATACAAGCCTCCCCTATACACCCCACCCTTGAGCTTGGTCTTTTAGCCGGCAGGTAAACACTTAAAAACTCTATTTTGCTCTTTCCTCATTCCACAGATAAAGCAATGAATGGGGAGTGCAGCGGGCCACAGAGAGGGTAGTTCATCTTGCTGCCAGCGCCTGCTCTCCTCTCAGTATCATCCATTTGATCTTGTCTTACACTGCTCCCTGCTCCTATACTCATGCTCAGCCCACACAGAGTGGGAAGGTTGTCAAAGGTTGCTCCTTTAACAATGTGCTACAACTTCAGCACTATTGTAAACCCCTTCACTGACAGATAACTCAAGTTTTCATTATCCTGGATGAGTGCTTCCATCAATGAAGTTGATCTTCTAGGGCCTGATAATATCATCTTTCTGTCAGCTTCTTACTATGAGTGATGAGCATGTTCTCTTATTTCTCATGTTATAACAATGGCAGGTTGTTTTATTAAAATGCCAAAATACATTACATCTGAACAGCTGAGTTTAAAGCTTTTAAACAAAAACTGTCTTTAATTCCCTTTCTCATGAGCTGTGCTTTGACCTAATATTCATTCATATCTTGGCGTCGCTGACACTTGTGAATGGCCGCCTCAGTGATTAAAAGAGCAGGGGTTCATGGGAAATTCCTGTGCTGTCATTGTGTTTTTCCCACACAGGGATCACTGTGGTATACCGCTGAGTCCCACGTTACAACCCCCTCCCTTCATCTGCCCTCATGGCAATCTGTTGTCGTGACAACCGCAGGGGACGCAGCTGACCATATGACAAGCCGACCCCTTACTTTGTCAGGAGAGGCATTCCTGCTGATGCGCACACACACACACACACACACACACACACACACACACACACAGACACACAGAGCACCCTCTCTGACAGGGAGGAGCAGATCCAGACACGCTCTGACATGCACACACACACACACACGCAAACAGCATGCGTCCACTTTGCCCTGCCATGTCACAGCACAGGTGGGCGTCTCAGTAGTGCCATGTCCACAGGCCACAAGCTCCACGATTGGTTCCCCTCTCCTTGAGCTCGGTGCTCATTGGTGAAGATTGTCTCTGTGGAAATGTTGTGCTTTCTACTTTCATTTTGTTACATGTTTTAAAGGTGCAACCATTTGAAATACACCTACCAGCCTGCTGCACATTACCTCACTCATAAACCCTGCGAGATGATTTCCATAAGCCTTTTTTCTCTCCTCCTGCATATTCATGAGACCCATCATGCATATTGCAGTATTAATCCTCTTAATCTCATGAAGTGCTCAGGTGGTCATATTCCACATTTATTTTTTGGCTGCATTTCACCATATGTTAATGTGTGTTGGTAAGCCAACATTCTTGTACATTAAACCAAAGACGGTATCAGCACAGCTGCTTGAATAAGCCACACTTCCCCCCCCCCCCCCCCCATAGGCTCTGCCTTCTTCTGTAGATTTTTATAAGCTTTAGTCCCACAGATTTATAGGCCAGCTGGTGTATTTTTGCAAAGCTCCATTTGGTCGACCATCCAAACACCTAAAACACAATACAAAGATATGTATGTGTGTATTTTATACATACAGTTTCAATGGTATCCCAGATTGTTGTGTCTTTCTGAATTTGTCAAATAGCTTCTGCTACTTATCCACCGTATGAATGTATATTACTTTAATTATAATAGAGTCTAATATCTGGATGTGTGCTATAAAGTCAAAGGCATGTTCAAAGCATTTTTCTTTTGCTGCTTAACTTGGTTATACAGGCATTCAGTGGTATTTCTCTAAAATGCAGCAGGTAAACAAACTCTGAGGCCATCAGAGCAAGCCAAGCTGCATTCCTTAGTTTCTCTGGTTCTTAAGAATACATTTATTTATTCTACTGGGTTTGCAAGAAAAAGTGAGCTATCTCCCACCTCTCCCGCTCTTTGTGTTTTGTTTATCCATGCCCTTTGCTTTTCATTTCTCTCTTAGCCTATACATTTGTCCCCCTTTCATGTTGCTTATCCTTCACTAAACCTCTTTCCTCCTACCCTACACTGATTTTTCCATTCCTTTTTATAATATTGACTTCATCCTTGAAATGTGATCCCTTTACTTGTTTTAGACTTTGCCCCCCACACATGACTTCATCTCCTCTCACAATTTCACACTTGCCTCCCACTTCTTTGATGTTTTTTCTCCCCTCTATCAAACCAATTTTAAACTTGTTTTTCCTATTGCTCCACAGGGACGTGAGGCGTCTGGTGGTAGCCATGTCCAGAGCCAGGCTGGGTCTGTACATCTTCGCCCGGGTGTCGTTGTTCCAGAACTGCTTCGAGCTGACTCCCGTCTTCAACCAGCTCACCGCCCGACCCATGCAGCTGCACATCCGGCCACACGAGTACTACAGCCAGGAACAGCCCGTACGTACACACAGGCACAAAACAGTTTCTCAAAGCGCTTCCTTCTTCTACTCCATTACATTTGGATGATAGTCAAGAACTCAAGCTCTGTATTTGCCAGTTTCCACATAACTGTTGCGCACTCCAAAGCCCCTTGACTCTGCTAATCCTGCCTCTATATTCTGAATGGCATCTTCTCTCCCTTTGTTCCTCGCTGGTTCTAAGTCTTACTGCCACTTCGCCCATAGGCCCTGCCCTGTTAACAGCATTCTGCAGGGGCCATCTGAAAGCATAGGAAACACAGGCCTGGCTATAATTAACCCTCGAAGGTCAGAAGGCTAAAGCACTCTCCCAAATCCCGCCAGGCCAGCATGAGACGACTGTTGTCTGGTCACTGTGTCTCGCTGACTGGCGTGTGTGGCAACATGGCCGTCTAAAATACCCCTCAGCCTGTGACACTTCCACTGACTCCAGAGTGTTCGTCGCCGGGGGGGACAGCTCACACATGCGGCCCTTGCTTAGCCCGTCTATCTGGAGTCGGTAACCCCTGCTGCTTACAGCTTGCTTCAGACTTTTGACTGATCAGAACTTTCACAGGCTGATTCAGAGGCAGAAACTAAACCATAAAGGATGCTGCTTAGTGCTCCATATGGATATAGGCGTATTTACAGCACCGTTGAACAGTATTGGACAGGCCGTAAAGCTTCATGTTTAATCACACTTAATCACTGGGAAACACTTCGACGCCATGATGTTTTTACAGTAATAAAACCACACATGGTTAAGTTTTACAGTACTGATGCCCTGGGGGCCTCTGTGAGCATCAAGCATGTCTTTAGGAGCAAGCAGATTAAACATTCTGCTCGCTTTGCTCCTCAGTTTAGGCTGCACGGCTCTGTCTGCATACTGATACTGTCAATTAAAAACTCCAAACCTCTTGATAGTACGTGAGCAGCAATCGCAGGATACAGTGGGCGAGAAATTTGCTTTCAAATAACGAACATAGTGGAATTGTAATTTCTGTGCACATTTGCATCAAATCAATAGTTAACCATAGTGTGTGTGCTAACAAGACCGATATACATCATTACCATTCCCTTCACGTCATCTTTCTCCTTCCTTCCCTCAGAGAGATGCTTCTGGACAGAAAGACCAAATCATCAAGAACATGCCAGAGATGACCAACATGGTGTACAACATGTACATGCACATGATCCAGACCTCCCAGAAGCACCGACAGGTAAAACATTTCATAAATACAATGAGTGTCAAAGGATGTTTTACTGTATCATTCAAATCAACCAGCAGCATGTTGTCGCTTCGAAAAGGAGAGGCTTATAATCCTTAGAATATTTGAGAGCTGTTACTACTTTGAGTGTACACTTGTTTTACCAACACAATTCTGTCTTACACTTTATTTTAGTCGTAGTGATATTCAACACTAAAGCAGTGCTAAAAGCTGTCACTGTCTCTGTCACTGTTGCTATTTTAGTATTTGTAATGCAGAGCAGTAAATAAGTGAGATGTAAGAGTTGTTGTAGTTTGCGTGTTGAGAATGAACAAGCTGAGCATAGTAAGAGCGCAGGTGATTTTTACACTACGTTCATATTTTATGTGCTGCCTTAAAAAGAGGATTATGGCATGACAGGGGGAGAAGAAATGAGAAAAAGGCTTCTCTGCTGGGAAAGGAATAAATACTACACTGCCATCGTTAAAGATGATTTCCCAGTAGAACGCACTAAGATGTAATAATGTAAATATTTTCCTTTCCACCATTTTTTTTAGCAGCAGCAGCAGAAACTGGCTCTGCCTCCACAACAAACCAAGCCTGATGCTGTGGATGAGGAAGCGTCAGTTAGCGCCGAAGAAAAACCAGAAGAGGAAACCCCCATGGAGCAGGAAACCCCAGAAGGAGAGACAAACCCAGAGCCAAACCCAGAAGGAAAGGCAACCCCAGAGCCAAACCCAGAAGAAGAGGCAACCCCAGAGCCAAACCCAGAAGGAGAGGCAACCCCAGAGCCAAACCCAGAAGGAGAGGCAACCCCAGAGCCAAACCCAGAGGACACCAGTGAGAAGGAGGAGAAGGAGGAGAAGGAGGAACAGCAAGAAGCAGTGAGCCATGCTAAGATGCCAGAGCATCCCGGCAGAGACAGCGACAGTGACGAAGAGGAAAATGAAGAGGAGCAAAAGCAGTAGAGCATCTTCTTCTGGGACTGCTGTCTAATTAAGGGCCTCAGTTATTTAGGGGACCGAGTGGATTGTCCCTTGAGAAAAGATTAGTGGAAAGTCAGTGATTTTTTATTTGTTTCTGCTCAAAGCAGATCCTGGTGATAATGTTTCATTCATTTTTCTATACCATTCAATTTTGTAACCATCAGTCCTTTTTTATTAAAAGAATTGCAAATCCTTCATTGTCTGGGACATGTTTAACTATATGTGCATGAGCTTATAATGCTCCTACAGAGGTTCTAATCTGTATCCCTCTCACACGCACCCTCTCAGACAAATACAGCGTATATTCCACATATTTAAGCCTTGTTAAAATCTCTCTGTCATGATACTTGCATCCATTCATCTGCTTCCACCCTCTGCTTTACACACAAGTCAAATCTGATTGGCTCAGCCTATACCAGCTACAGAAGCTGCGACTAAGCTGCATTTGTAGGTCAGTCACTTCACCCAAGGGTAAGTGTGCATGCTGGGGGATTTGGGCTTTGCCCTCTGGATGTACACATTCACTCAACCAAGCCTTAAATACTCATTCATAACTTTTTGTGGAATACTGACAGCAGAATATCTCATCAGGGGGATCAGTGTCTGGGTTGAGGCTTGACGACCACATTTTGGACATAGTTTAAGGCTCAATATTTGTGTCAACATCAAAAACAAAGCCAAGTTCCAACCCGGGTATCTGTAGTTAAAGGGCTGTAAGAACATTTGTATGTTTAAGAAAATGTATAAAGAAAGCGTAATTAAGGCAAGGCAATTTTATTTATATAGCACTTTTCAGCACGTGGCGATTCAAAGTGCTTTACAGATTAAAAGCAAATGACATTTAAGAACAAATACAACACAAATACATTATTAAAAAGGCATTTAAAAACAGGCATAATAAGCAAAGGTAATGAAATAAATAAACACAGCAGGAACAGAATACATGACTGAAAAGGCATACTGTAGTGTGAGTATGAGCAGCTAAATTAAAAGCAGCGGCAAATAGATGTGTTTTTAGTCGGGATTTAAAAATAGGGAGTGTTTCAGGGGACGTGCATGATTTAGGCAGTTTGTTCCAGATTGTTGGGGCATAATAACTAAAAGCTGCTTTTCCATGTTTAGTGGTTATTCTCGGAACAGAGAGCAGACCCGACCCAGAAGACCTGAGACTCCTGGATGCTTCATAGTGATGGAGGAGGTCGTCTATATACCTCGGTCCTAAGCCATTTAGTGATTTAAAAACTAGCAGTATTATTTTTAAATCAATTCTTTGGTCGATTGGAAGCCAGTGTAATGATCTCAGAACCGGAGTGATGTGATCCACTTTTCTAGTGTCAGTGAGGACTCGAGCAGCAGCGTTCTGAATCAGCTGCAGCTTTCTGATAGATTTTTTAGTGAGCCCTGTGAATACACTTGCAGTAGTCGAGTCTGAAAATAAAAGCATGGACAAGTTTTTCTAAATCCTGTTGCGACATTAGTTTTTTAATCCTTGATATATTCTTCAGACCTAATAACTGTTGTAATGTGACTGTTAAAATTCAGGTCTGAGTCCATCACTACACCCAGATGTCTTGCTTTGTGAGTTCCTTTGTAGTCTGCCGACTGAAGCTCTGTGATTACTTTTAATCGGTCCTTCTTTGCTCCAAAAACAATGATCTCAGTTTGTTTAATTGGAGAAAGTTCTGAGTCATCCAGTCAGTGATGTGCTCAATGCACTTGCTCAGTGTTCTAATCGGAGAATAGTCTCCCGGTGTAATTTTAAAATAAATCTGGGTGTCGTCTGCATAGATGTGATAGCTTAGATCGCTCTTTTTAATAATTTCAGCCAGAGGTAGCATATAAATATTAAAAAGCAAAGGTCCTAAGATGGAGCCTTGAGGAACCCCGCATGACATATTTATCAGGGTTGATTTGTAATTGCCTATTGAGACAAAGTTTGTTCTGTCCTTCAAGTAGGAGCTAAACCAGTTTAGAGCTGTTGCTGAAACTCCCACCCAGTTTTCAAGACGGTCTAACAATATGTTGTGGTCAACAGTATCAAAGGCAGCGCTGAGATCTAATAATACTAACACTGATATTCTGCCACTGTCTGTGTTCAAATGGATGTCATTTAAGACCTTAACAAGTGAAGTCTCAGTGCTGTGGTTAGGTCGAAAGCCCGACTGAAACACATCAAAACCGTCAGTTAAAGACATGAAATTACTCAACTGTTGAAAAACTGCTTTTTCAATCAATTTGCTTAAAAAGGGAAGGTTTGATATTGGCCTGTATTCATTTTGGTTGCGTCTCGGTTATGCTTTTTTAGGAGCGGTTAGATTATTGCAGTTTTCAGGGCCTGTGGAAATACACCTGATTGAAGAGACTTGTTTACTATGTGTAGTATATCTGAGGCCAAGCAATGAAAAACAGTTTTGAAAAATCCTGTCGGGATGATGTCGAGGCTACAGGAGGAGGATTTCAGATGTTGGATAATGTCTTCCTGGTCTTTAGCATTTATCAGACGGAAATGTGTCATGATGTCTGAATTGACTTTAGGTGTACACAGGGACAAAACATTTGCTGTACCTGATACAGAGGCACTGACTGCCTGTCGAATTTGCATGATTTTGTCAGTGAAGAAGGAGGCAAAATCGTTGCAGACCCTGGTGGATAGAAATTCTGAGGCTATCGACACTGGGGGGTTTGTTAGTCTGTTGACGGTAGCAAACAAGGCACGTGAGTTGTTTTTATTTGTGGTAATGATGTCAGAGAAGAACGACTGTCGTGCCTTTTTTATTTCCTGATTATAGAAACCAAGTTTCTCTTTATATATTTCCAAGTGAACCTGGAGATTTGTTTTTCTCCACCTGCGTTCAGCTTTTCTGCACTCAGTTTTTGCTGTTCTCAGAGTCATGGCTTTTCTCCATGGAGATATTTTCTTGCCAGATACTTCCTTTATTTTAATGGGAGCAATGGTATCCATGACATTTGTTATTTTAGAATTAAAATGATGATTAAAACTAGCTCATTTACTGAGAAGTTAGTATGGGCAATTGAGGGAGTAAAAATCTGAGCAAACATTTCCTCTGCATTTTCAGTTAAGTGACGTCTAGTGGTTACCTCTTTCTTAACAGTTGTATGGACGGTAATAGAGCTCTCAAAGAAAACACAGGAATGGTCGGAGAGCGCAACATCACTCACCACAAGCTTAGAGATGTTCAGACCCTTTGATACAATTAAGTCCAGGGTGTGCCCCTTATTGTGCGTCGGACCCTTGACATGCTGAGTCAGTCCAAAATGGTCGATAACACAAAACAGTTCTTTAGCCCCTCTGTCCTCAGGGTTGTCAACATGGATATTAAAATCGCCAAAAATGATTAAACGGTCAAAGTCAATACACACTATAGACAACAACTCGGTAAAATCATCAAAAAAGCTTGCACAGTATTTGGGTGGTCTATAGATGTTTAGGAAAAGAGCTCGAAAGGAGCATTTCAACTGAAGGGCCACATATTCAAAAGAAGCAACGTTTCCATACATAGTCTGCTTGCATTGAAATAAGTCATTAAACAAAATAGCTACTCCACCCCCTTTCTTATATAGTCTTGCCTGACTCATAGAATTAAAGTTGGACAGTATGAAGTTGACTTTTGATTGTGTTCTGGTTTTATGTTTCAGTATTTGTAAGCAACTGTGACTGAAAGAATATTGCTTTTAATTTACTTTGTTATGGTTATACTTTTTTTTAAGAAGGGACGAGTAAAATAAGATGTTCTTCTCCCTGCTCATTTCCACCATGCGCTATAATTATTATTATTTTTAAACAGTATAAGAGTACATGTTTTGTTTTAAAATAACTGCAATGTGTGGAATAAACAAATAAATAAAGCACAAGTCCACTTAAAATGAAGAGGTTAACAAGGTCCACAGCCCTTTAGGCAAAAACACAAGAGTGGAAATGCATTCATTATCATGCACCAGAGGTTGGTTGTTGTTACATCATACCTCGGGCAGGCTGAGGGAGCAGGTCAGCTGCACAGCTGCTCCAGCCTGGCCCAGTCTAAAGACCTGACAGAGAGAACCATGTGTTGATAGATGTGGAGAGACATATTTTCAGCATTCAGTCAAGTGTGGCGCCGCCGCCGTGTAACGTCTATTTGTCCATCTTCTGAGAGCAGGGCACCCCGGGTCGAAGTTTTCGCATGAGTATTTTGGAGTAGTACCTCTCTGTCGGCTGAGGAAAGGATTAGAAGGAGCGGCTAGATAAGGAATATAATCCCTGTCGGCTGAGGCCCCATGTTCAAATTCTTGACAATGTTGGCATAAAGCCTACTAGAACAATGTAATATATCACATGATGGTGAAATATTTCATGATTTGTACTGGACAAATCACAATTACACACATGTTCATGGTGGATTATAGCACTAATTATCTGTCTACAAACACATGACAGCCTGCATACTTTTCGCTGAGTCACATGAGAGTCTTTATTGTGTTATATCCTCCCTCCGCTAACACTTCCTTACTAACTTTCTGCTTTCTCTCAGCCGGACTCATGAGAATTCAGTTGCCTGTGGTGCCTTGTTGTTGTAAATTAGAGCTAACTGGTGGGACGTGACTACTGCTCGCACACAACATCCCTGGAAGTTTCTAGCAGGATTTTGAGAGACTGGAAGACAGACCTACAACCAACAGGACATTTCTCTGCTGAAGGTGAACATGTCTTTTATACTTACACAACGACAGGTATTCATTAGGTTAATAGCTACTCTGCAATGCTTTCACTTTTAACCTTTGCTATGAGCTAGTGTGTGAGAAAGACTAACAGCATGCAGTAGAAGTGTTAATGTATATTTGGTCATGAGCATATGCATTATGGTATTGGTATCTTTATACTGACTTGTAACTTGCCACATAAAAATGTGTTTTATGCTGCAACAAAAATGGCATTGAATCTGAAAAGAGGCATTTTGAATGTAATATTCAGTTATTCAGTCGAGTGGTTAGGAAAAAAGTACCTGTACGAATGTAAGTCATTTTATGGAAGAGCAGCAGAGAGCACTGAAGTGTTTTATTTGTGATTTTATGGTATGACAGAGTCCATTTGTACTGGCTGCACTATTGTATTGTTCCTCTTAAGAAAATGTAGTTGCTGGTGTCTAGTATTTTCTCTTTTTAGTGTAAAGGCATTTCCAAAATCTCGGGTTTACCATCACACACACTCATGTTCAGTGTGTCGTTTATTGCCCAACCCTAAATGACAGTAGTGTCACAACAGGAAATTACACATTGCATCATCAAGAAGATGGTATTTCCTGCCAGGGGGAAGCATCTGACCATTGTGTCTTCTTACAGCTGAATGAGGTTTAGGGAATCCGCCTGACTAGCATGTGACAATTCCACACTCATAAAACCATCAGTTCTACAATTTGAACTTTAAGGCTGGGCCTCAGGGCGGATCTTTGTAGATTTATAGACCACATAAAACATCTACTGTTTGTCATTATATATAAATAAATATATATTTGTATAACTTTTGATTAAAGAGGCAAAATGCTTAGCTTGCTGAAACTGAAAGTTATATTATCAATATCAGTTTTAGTTTTTGTTTAAATATATACGGCACTTTAATCACGCCTGACCTCACAGCTGGTGGTCAGGTTGCTATCAGTTAGCAAACGAATACATTTCACCAGTATAAACGATATACATATACAGTATAGTATATGTGTAGATGCATAAATTATCAAGTTGGAAGTGTTCACAAATTGCACTGCATTCCAATTAGCTACTTTTCATTGCGGACGATACAACAGGCAATGTTATGGCTTAAAACAGCAGCAAATCATACTCCTGGCCTGGGTCACTGTTTGTGATCGGCGTTGACAGATAAAGTAATGCTCATTACTAAAGTTATGCATGATCTCCGCTGATCTGCTATTAGCGGGTGACTAATGTGCCAGCGTTGGTCTTCGACACCCCGTGAGTGGGCGGCCTGCTGACCCTCGAAGGCAGACAGGACTGGTGGTTATTGCTTGTGGTTGCCAGTGTGACGGCCCCTAGGCCTCAGATCCAATTCCTTGGTCAGCCACTCCCCCCAATCAGGAGAGATTGCTGACACCTGATTCAGGTTGACTGCGCAGCTACAAGTATGGGTGCCTGAGCAGTCAGTCTCTCTCTCCTCTTGGGTTGCTTGGCACTACTGGATCTTGGTTTGTTTGTCTTTGCTTTATCTACTGATGCATATTCACACACATTACTGATTAACTGACTTCATAGTTAACTTAGTTTCTTTAAATAAATGTACTTTAATTGGATATGAATCGTGTGTGTTCTCCTTCTTTTGTCCGTCCTTGAGCCAGGGCGTGACACCAGTTTATCATGCTTTGTATAGGCCAATGCTTAATCCTGACAACCTACCAGATCATCAAACCGGGCATGTTTCATTCTGATAATCTGCTATCTTCACTAAAGAGTCACGGCTTCACACAGCATCACACTCGGATGCTATTGTAGTGACTGAGTGTTTTTACTGAACCCAAAGTGCACTTCTGCCAGGCTCCCACACATTTCAAAGCTCAGTTATAGCTGTATGAGTTTTGCTCTGCAAGTCATCCTGTTGTCCACTTTGATCTCCCACTCTCATTTCCCTCTCTACCTCCCAGACTAGGATGGCAGATAGCGGGTCGTGTTTGTGGAGCATCATCTGGCTGGTGGTTCTGCTCTTCATCGGCTGGCCCCTCAGCATCCTCCTCGGGGGTCTCTACGGTCTCTTCTGCCCCCTCACCACCTGCCTCGGCCTGGACAGACTCTCTGATCTGCTCCTGGAGGGGGCCAACCTGGGCCGCACCTGTGCCAATAACATGAGGCACAGCAAGCCTATGTGTTAAAATCCACCCAGAACCAGAGATGGGGGGGGGGGGAGATTGGTGCTTTTCGACTGAAAAACATCCTTTGCTTTAAGGGGAATCATACCTTTATTTGTCCCACAGAGGGGTTAATATCTGTTTCATGTGGAGATGTCATCAGATGATTGGCACTCAATACAGCAAGGAACTGTTTAGCAAGTTATGTAACAAAGTTCCAGAAGGTTTTCAAAATAGATTCCCCGTGATCTGTTAACATGTAATTAACCACGGATTTGAAATTTGTATGGGTATGTCTGGAAGAAAATAGGCTTTGTGTTCATGGTCTGTTTGCTGTTTAATTCATGATGACACTGCATGCAGAAGATAAGAATGAAAATGGCATTTTAACAATGGAAATGCTTAGACTTGTAAATGACTGTATGGAAACTTTTAATGCGATTAAATAGCTTTGAAGTTGCCCTCTGTATTTGTCGACTGACTTATTGCACAAAGTATTTGGTTGGAAATCCATGTTGGAGAATTTGAAGGTAAATGGAGATGCAGAACAAGCAGGAGATATAAACAGATGGATTTATAGTTTCCTTTGATATTTCTGTTTACCTGCTTTTATCCTTAGGTCATAGGAGATAGAAAAAAAAGTAAATAACATGACTTTGCAGAAAGTGTAAGACTTTCTCTAGAAAAACTTTAAACTTTGACGTGGCGACTGCTTTGGGGCGACCCATTGTTTTAAGGGTTGTCAAATATACTTCAATCATTGTTTGAAAACAGGAGTGTATATTTAGGCTCCCTATTGCAACTGGATAAGGGCTCAATAAGTAAGATTGTTATTAAAGTTACAAGGTTTAGGTCTCTTTCTTCCACTATGGCCTTTGAAAACAAACTTAAGTAAAGCTGGAAAGGTTTTGACCAAATGCTGTGAAGTATGATCCATTGTTTGATGGCTGCACTGAAGTTTTGACATTGTGGGTTCATGCCTCAGTAAGTTATTACATTCTGAAAGCCAACACCCAGAGGAAAGGCTGAAAAGTTCTCAGAAGAACTTTGGAAAGTGAGGAGCACTGAGTATAATTATGAGCCCTGAGCTAAAAACTGAAAGCTGGCTTCTCTTAGCACACTGAAAGTTGACATTTCGTTTTTCACAGGACAGTAACGTAAAACTTAAGTACATTATTCTACTCTATGGAGATTTTAAAGTTGTTTGTGCTCATGATGAGAGGCTTTTTATCGCCTGCTTCATTCTGTAAATAATCCACAAATTATGTCTTATATCTGCACATTTCTCTCTTTAATCGATTAGATTTTCTATGTATATTAAATTAACAAATACATTTCACTGCAAACTTAATAGCAGTTCAGTGCAGCAGCTCATTTTCCTGCTTTGATCGTTGTATAATACACGTTGGAAGCTGGTGAGACAAAGATGAAACACCGTCCAAAAATAATAGTGCAACAACCAATGGGCACATTAATGTACAACTCAACTATTTGGGGTGGAATCCTTTAAGCGATGCTAAAGGCTAAAGCAAATGTAGCTTCATAACACAATCCCTGGGGGTTGCATGTCTTACAAAAAGAATGTTCAAATGACATGTCGAAATGTTCAGCATATGCACGACGAGAGAGCAAAATCCTATTTAGCTGAACGTATTCTCGGCTAGGTGTTTAAACTCACTGACTCTCCTATCAGTTTGGACTGACAGGGTACTTAGGGATACCTTTAAAAAGCACCCAAAAATACTCTTGCTGAGCAGCCTTCCTACAAATCTGGGTATCTGTCTATTTTGTAGCTTATTTAAATTGTATTCATGAATATTTCATTTTTAATCCAAATCGCTTTTTAACCTCATTTTCTACCCCTCACTTTTGCAGATGCACAGACTGACCTCACTTATTCAGATACATTAGTTGAAAAAATGCAATATTTATGTGAGTGTCATGGGAGACCTAGATTTATTTGTCTGCCCGGTTCTGCTCCCAAACATCCGGGGGAAAGAAGTCACGAGCCAAATAAAAAAAGCGTCCGATTTTAGTTTCTCGGTTGGCAGAGGACACAGTAGGCGAGAGAGAGAGAGAGAGAGAGAGAGAGAGAGAGAGAGAGAGAGAGAGAGAGAGAGAGAGAGAGAGAGAGAGAGAGAGAGAGAGAGAGAGAGAGAGAGAGAGAGAGAGAGAGAGAGAGAGAGAGAGAGAGAGGCCTCCTCATTCAATTAACCACATACTGCTCTGTAATTTCAGCCTCAGATTTACACACACATGCACACACAACATACACTATGAAATGGCTGGGAGGCAGTGACGTGCGGTGAGGTTCATGGCTGGTGAGGCACTGACTCTTTCAGAGTCAGATTTACAAATATTATATTCTGACCTTAATCGAAATATTCTGTTATTTTCAAAAGCTTTTTTGGTCTGATGTTTCGATTCATTTTAAACAGACCGTTCAACAAAAGGATACCCACAATCTAAATATTGGATTGTTCTTTCTTAGTAAGAACCAATTTTCATTACCAATGTGGTCTTACCTTGACTTGAAGATGAAGTCCATGCTATCCTTCTGGACAAGGACTTGATTGATTGATTGAAAAGTTTATTAACAGCTTGTATATTGGGTACAGTACAGTACAGCTCAAAACATACAATTGTTAAGGGGATGCAGACCAGAGAAATACTTTCGTCTTGTTTACATCAGGGTCCCCCATTTCCAATTCGTCATGTCATTTAAGACATATAAGACATATTTGACATACAGATGGCTTATTTACAATTTACATACAGGTGGGTTTTTTTACATACAGATTGCTTGTTTACAATTTTCATTTTAGATTTTGTTCTAATACATCCTAACCGGACATTTAAGACATACCAAGTCTACAGATATACAGTTAGTAACATAGTCTAAAATGCGAGTATAGATGGGGGGGGGGGAGCTGTCCATTGACAACAATCTCTATTACTTTTTTGTAAAAGTCCTCCTTATCTTCCTCTAGTTTCAAAAGTCTAGTTTGTTGTTCGCGTCTATACCGTCCATAGATACCGTCTCTGCGTAGAATAACAGTAGTACGGCGAGCCTAAATATCATATACGTGAAATAAGTTATTTAGAGACTATGGATGGCGAGGATAAATGTAATAAAGGGATCTACAAACATTACATTGGTGACATACAGTGAGATGGTGCAGGCATGCGCTTAGGGCCCGCTTTCCAGACAGTTTCTGTGAGGTGACGCATTCTGAGGTGAGGCAGAGCTCATCTGTGCCTCACCTTACCACACAGTAACTGGCTTGAGCGCGCTCACAAAATAAGTGCCCGCGCTAAATTAGTGCCCGCGCTAAATTAGTGCCCGCGCTCCAGCAAGTTACTGTGGGCTTACGTGAGGCAGAGCTCGTCCCTGCCTCACTTCTCATCGCTACCCGTAGTTGTAGCGGAGCTCGGCAGATTTGCTGATTTTGACTATAAAAAGCGATTGGAATCATACATAAATCACATTTACAACACAGATCAGTGGAGACATTTTATTATTACTATTTAGTTGTTCTTTAGTTGTTTTTCCGTTACATTGTAGTATGGCCAGTCTATGAGTATGACAGACGAGGCTCTGCCTCCCCTGACTGCACGTCGCTGCTGGGAGGAAATGTCATTCTGGAAGTGGGGCATTTCTTCAGTCCACAGGAGGACTCTCTAGTTTCCTAATGAGACATTTGAGAGTTTTAATAAATAAATAATATTTTCAGCTTAATGTATTCAGCAAAGAAACGTATAAATACCATTCTGGTTCCCGGTTTTTTAAGGTTTTCTGTTTTGTTTCATTACGAATTGAATATATTATTTGTTTTGGACTGCTAATTGAAGAAACAAAAGTGATTCTAAGACATCACCCTGAGTATTTTTGAAGGCCATTCATTAATAATGTAGACCCAATGGGGTTTATGTGCCTTCTCCAATCCAATCCAACTTTATTTATAAAGCACTTCAAAACCTCCAGACCAAAGAGTTGTACAGAGAAATACAAAATCACACAGCCAAGCTCACAAACAAAAACTAATGAAGATAAGAACACAAAATAAACAATAATAAAAACAACAGCCACATAGTAAAAACAATATGCCATTTAAAAGCAATAAAAGCAACCATCTACAAAGTACAGAACGCTAAGGAGAAGAGGTGGGAGCCTTTCTAATATGGAGGGGTTTTAGGGGCCGATTGGGGGCCGCAGCAGCTAAAGCACGGTCCCCTTTGAGCTTTGTTCTTGGTACACTCAGGAGCAGGTGATCAGCTGACCGAATGTGAGTGGTCATGTAGGGGTTTCTAACTTAGATTAATTTATATTTGAAATATTCAAATATTGAAAGTGTTGCATTCTATTTAATGAATTCTATCATGTTGCAAGATAATGAACATTGACCTGAAACTCACCTTTCTAAACTCATAACTTGTTTTCAGTGTAATCCTAATACATGTTTCCTATAAGCCTTTTATGTAACAGATGTTCAAAAGTATAAAACATGGAAACTGTGCATTTTAGGAAAGTGAGACTTACTGTCCAAAGTATCAATATTAAAGTATAAATGCAGCCACACTGACAGCAATCCAAGCCCTGAGCTTCTTTTAGGTACCCTGCAGAAGACTCTAACATAAGCCAACAGCCTGTCACTCAGAATTCAGTGCACAGGCCAGAGAGGGAAAGCACACCCACTTTTCACTGAGCAATATGTTTCATGTCTTCCTTCTGCTGTGTCCTTTAAATGGCCCCTGACGCTCCAAACACATAAATGTGCCATGTTGGAATGAAGAAAGTGCTTTCAGACCATTTGTATTGAGCGAGTTTTTGATGAACGGCTCAAATGCTACGATCCAGCGTGGGGACATTCCCATATATCTGCACATTATTGATTTAGATAGTAAACCTGGCCTGCATCAGGCAAATGACTTCCCCTCAGGGTTCTCTAAAAGGGCTTGTACTCTGTTTATGATGTGAAATTCCCATAGAAAATCAATAGGTTTTTTGTTCTGGACTGTTTTGTCCTTATTATCTCATTGCTGCTGCTGAGCAATGAGGCTGATCTCCTGAGGGCTCGTGAGTAGGAGGAGAATGATCGTGCCACAATGATTAATTCTCAGTAGTAGCAGCAGCTAAAGTGAAAGTCACACTACAGGACTGTTTGAGTAGCCTCCAAGTGTCTCTCTGTCTAATCCTGGCTCTGGCATAAACCTATCACACCCATGGCTGCTCCGACAACAAGCTCAACAAATATGTTCCATTCAAACATCCTAAACCATTGCCCTAGAAGTGATATTACCTGAACACACTGGAAAGGAATAGTGGCAAACACCAACATATAATTCAGTAACATTTAAATATTGTACCACAAGGGCAACCTCACATTGTTTTCCCCTCATTATCTTCAAAGCTCTGTTCTCCACAGCGGACTTAACTAAGCTCTAGTTGTAAAATATTAGC